CCGAAAATTAGAGAATACAATACTTTTATTTTTAGTATTACTGATATACGTGTCCTTGCAGAAATGTTGATGACGTCATCGCATTTTTTTTAAATTGGCCCGTTACAAAAATTTAAAGAAAAAAAAACATAATAGGCATGCAGTCGTCACGTTTCCGACAGCAAGGGAAGTACTGTCTAAACTCTTTAGACCAATTTTTTTTATTTGACTTTGCGAAAATCCTTTCATTTCAGATCAAACCTAGGTAGATGATCCTGTTTATTAACTCATGTCTAATTTTTGAGATAACGTGCTCAATTTTAATTTAAGTGGATCTTCTACTGATGAAATAGCATTCTTTATGAACAACAAACAATAAAATAGTAAAACAAATCTATCAACACTGCATGACCTGCATGTGTCCAGAAACCATAAAATGGCTTGGATAACCCTCAACGATTTCTTTAACCCTGCGAATTCTGGTGGTTCTTGGAGGTTAAACACTGTCAAAATGGAGTGCGATTTCGACCTGTGAACTGTGAAGACCTTCAGACGATTTACGTTTTCCACTTGTTATCATATGCACAATGTCGCGATAATATTTATTATGTTAATTTTGTGTTGTTATTACGCAAGACCAAGGAGTCGTAACTGATTGTGTTTTATTATATATAAGTAATTATGCTTGTATTTTATTTTTGCCGTTGCCTCATACACCATTTTTTCTTCAGCCTGTGTGTTTCATGTCTCTGCAATTTATGCTATTTCTATCTGAAAATTATCAAACTAATTATTATCTGTAACACACAAAAACCTTATTTTAATTTAACTACTCTCACCTCTTCATTTTTCGTTTTGGGAATGTTATTTTTGTATTTTTATATGGTAGGACATTTTAATTATCATATGAAAAATAGTTTTCAGCAGCTCCAGACTGTTTTTGAAAATTAAAATTACAGGAGTATTTTGTAATTTTTATTTTACATAATTTTAAAATTTACTTTTAGAAATTTTATGTTTTTATAAAAACTCGTATATGTTTCGTTAAAAATCTGGAAACATTATTAAACCACAGATAAAGAAATACATCGCACTATAAAGTTCGAGGGAGACTTACTCAGCAAATTTTGAGATTTCGTCAGCATCTTTTAGGTGGGAATGATTAGGCAAATTTTAGTTAGAGCCTTACCGTCTACACCATATCTTTAATAACAGTCAGTCCAGTAGTTTCGGACATAATCTGTTCGATCTATTCGCCAACAGACGAGAAATAAACGCTAAAACCTACTCCTTCAAATCGCAAGAGCTTGAAAAAACACGAAATTGCAATATTTCGCTAGCTTCAAAATATTAAATTTTGCAATTTGTTTTGTATTGATATCTTTCGGTAATTTATGAGTTATCGATAAGAGTATAAGTGATTGATGTATTCTATAATTACATTTTAAAGTTCTTCGTAGTTTGAGAGAAAAGTGAAACTAGTTCATGAAGTTGCAAAAACAAGTAATATCTAGTAATACGAATAAATTATATATCTACAGAACATTAAAATTGGAGGTCTATTAAACAATTTTTTTGCCGATGAATTTTGTTACTTTTGCGACATAACACTACGTTAGAAAGTTTTAAAAACTGTGTTATGTAATTCAAAATGCTTGTTATTTAATCATGCTTCGCTCTCACTGCTATTTTATCTTCCATTAAAATTATACCTAGATGGTAATTATATTGGGAAATAGTCCTTACTTCCTAACAATTGTTCACCTCTAGTACCATAAGATTCTGATTAGCGATGCTTTACCACAACGTGTCGATATGTTCTTCAAGGAAGTCCTGGATATCACAAATTTATAAATCCACTTCTTTGAACTCTATGACCCATGTGTAATGTTTAAAAAAAGAGATAAATTCAACATGACCTGTAAATTTTCCTAAGTGGCAAAATGGCAGAACCTAATACAATAAACATGTGTTTTTTTGGTTCCTCATTAACTAAAAACGCGAATAATGCTTGTCTTAGGTGTTAAAATGCGTTTTGTATAAATTCTGACCATTAGTTAAATTAATAAACGGTCACCGATAAACAAAAGTGCAGACAGCAGTGATTATTTGTGGATAAAACACAAGGTCTTACAGATAAATAAGTGTCACTTGGTTATTTTTTTAATGTGAGTATTTATTAAAATTGTCATGTTATTAAAGTCGCAGCTAGTAATCACTTGGAATCACATTGATTCTTCAACGTTACAAATTTTGACAAACTTAATTACATAATTCAAAATGTCTATTTCTTTATTATGTTTTATTTTGCTCTCAATGATTATCTTTCACGAAAAGTCTACATTTGGTATCAAAACTACGCAATTGTGCAAAAGTTACCACGACCTCCCGGACGTGGATTTATATTGGGAAATACTTCACACTTCGGAACAACAGCAGGTGAATATTTTGAAGTAAAAACTAAAAGTTCCGACCATTATTTCAGATGTGGTGTTTCGGAGACTTGGTGATGCTGCTAGAGAGTTTTATCCAGTCTTCAAGCTGTATGGACTACATCTAACGGGAGTCGTTATCGTTTCGCCTGAAGATTGCGAAGTACTTTTATCTCACATTTTAAACAAATAATTTAATTTAGTTTTACTAGCTCGTACTTTCAAACCCCGTGCACAACGAAAAAGGGTTCGTTTACAAACTAGGCCACAAATGGTTAAAATTTAGACTTTTAACAAGCTCTGGCGCGAAATGGCATACTAGAAGAAAAATTCTCACACAAGCTTTCCACTTCAGTGTTCTTCAAGAATTTGTTTCGGTTTTTAATGAACAAGCCGGGCAAATCGTGGAAATACTAAGAAAAGAATGTAACAAAACTTACGTTAATGTAAATTCTGTGATAGGAGATTTAACTTTAAAAATAATATCTGGTACCACTGTCTTAAGTGTATTGAAAGACGAATACTATATGTTAATTGTTTACAGAAACGGCAATGGGTACCAAGCTTGAGTTTAATAATCAAAAAGATCAAGCTTACAAGCAAGCACTCCACGGTCTCGGCAGAATATTTTCCTACAGAATTATACACCCTTGGTGTATCGAAGGAATTTTAACTTTTTATTCAATTCCTCATATTTTGAAGAACTTAGACTCACAAAAACTTTACACGGATTCACTAGACAGGTGATTGATGAAAAAGAGAAGAATTTTGTCGATTTTGAATTACCGCAAGAAGAACATGACGTGTACAAGGGAAAAAGAAAATTAGCTATGTTAGACCTTCTACTGTCGGCCAAAAAAAATGGAGGAATAATTGATAACGAGGGTATTAGAGAAGAAGTCGACACCTTCATGTTTGAAGGCCACGATACGACGACAGCGGCTTTAAGTTTCACATTGATGCTTCTAGCTAACAATAAAGATGTGCAAGTAAAACGAAACTGAAAATATATTTACAAGAAATTTTTCAATGTTAAATTTTAGCAACGCGTCTACTCCGAATTAGTCGAAGTTCTTGGAGATTTAAATAAAACGCCAACCTACAACGACCTGCAAAATTTAAAATACATGGAGCGGTGCATTAAAGAGAGTCTTCGATTGTACCCTAGCGTCAACATCATTTCTAGGCACTTGGGGGAAGATGTGAGGATTACCAGTGGATATTTGCTTCCCAAGGGCACGCATGTGGTGATATACATCTATGGAGTACATCGAAATCCGGATATCTATCCTGATCCTCAAAAATTCGATCCTGATAGGTTTCTACCGGAAAATTGTCAAAACAGACATCCTTTTGCATATATACCGTTTAGTGCAGGACCACGAAATTGCATAGGACAAAAATTTGCAGTGCTTGAGATGAAAGCTGCTCTTTGCGCTATTCTAAATAATTTTTGGTTAGAACCGGTCGACACACCACAGTCCATTGTCCCTATAGTCGACATTATTCTAAGAAGTAAAGATGACGTTAAAGTAAAGTTTATCCCACGTACTTTTTTTTTAATTTCTGCTCTAGTTACCCATGACTTTTATCAGCAGAAACATTGAAACTGCTAACGTAAGTACCCAACTAGAGCAGAAATTTAAAAAATTACCCGAATCTAAAATCATAAAAAAAACGGAATAGTTTGTTGGAAAATATGTTATAATGGTGAAGTGTTTTCATACAAGCATTTATCAAAACATTCACAGATTTGTACCACAAAATTATCAAATTAACATGTGTTACCCAGAAAAAGCTTATTGTTATTACAGCGCAAAGACAAATTTTTGCGTTGTCACGAGAATTAATACTGACATGTTTTAAATGTTTATTTTATTGTTAGAAGTAGACCACCATTATATGTGATTAGTAAAGGCGGAAATATAACATCCTGATAAAAGCTGACCTTTTATGATCAATTAAAATGTTTGATTGTGAAAAAAGTGCAATGTTCTGAGAACAATTGTGAGCGGTTGTGGACTCAAAAAATGAGATTGCACTCTATTTGTATGTGTTCTCAGAGTATGACAATGTAAAAATAGACAAAAAGCGCCATGCCATTGACACTTAGTGGAACACAACATTCGTTATTGTGAACATCTTATTGATCGTTATAATACGTTATAATACCTAAATACTATATAACGTATACAACAACGAAAATATTCAAAAAATATGTAATTTAATAAACTCAGTTTAGATTTGTCCATATAATGCCAACATGGTTGGCGAAACGCGGCGACAAAGTATATATTTTTTTGTTTTTCGGTGTTAAAACGGGGATAAACGTTATAATGTCTGCGTTATTGTGATACACAGATAAGCGTAACTTGTAGATGCACACCGAAATAGCTCCATATTTTAATCAATGTAATAAAAATAATTGACTTTTTACAAGTTCCAATTATCCTTATCACTAAGATTAAAGTTATTTTCTTAGTAATTATTATACTACAACAGATTTCTTATTGTTTACTGTTTTTATCAACATCGGAAATTTTGATGAATTGACGCACTATACATGTTTTATTCACATATATGCGCTGAGTTTGAAAACACGCATACGTACTTTTCGGCATTAAGTGAGGCAGCAACTTACAAACAATAATTAACTACCAAACAACTCAGTTTTTTTAGTAATGTTTCACTAGAAAATTAAAAATGCCTATTTCTTTATCGCACTTAGTTTTATTAATTTTAATACTTTATCTTATAAATAAGATATATGCATTATACATTTATGTCAAAAACTACATAATTGTGCAAAAGTTACCAGGACCTCCTAGGGGTGGCATCATAATGGGGAATATAGCAGGCTTTGGAAACACTGCAGGTAAATATTTAAAAAGTACATAAAACAATAAAAGCTTTGATTTTTATGTTAGAAGCGGCATTTGAAAACACCCTTAAAATATCAAAAGAATTTTATCCAATTTTCTCGGTACATGCAGTACATCTAACTTCAGTCTTCGTTCTCTCGCCAGACGATTGCGAGGTAAATTTTTCTTTCCAATTTCAGTGTAGAGTATTTTTTATCATTGTAGTTGATACTCTCTAATCCCATTCACAACGAAAAAGGATTTATGTACAAACTAATTCACAAATGGTTAAGATTTGGACTTTTAACCAGCTTTGGAACGAAATGGCAAACTAGAAGGAAAATTCTAACGCCAGCTTTCCACTTCAGTATTCTTCAGCAGTTTGTTTCGGTTTTCAACGAACAAGCAGAACAGCTCATAGAAATACTGAGTGCAGAATGTAACAAATCCTACATCAAAGTGAATTCTGTTTTAACACAATTCACCTTAAAAACAATATCTGGTATTGTATAGAGTTTTAAAAAGTAGTTCTTATGCGTCAGTTGCTTACAGAAACAGCAATGGGTACCAAACTCGAGTTTAAAAATAAAAAAGATCAAGCTTATAAAAAAGCTATTTATGATATCGGAGAAATACTTGCTTATAGATTCATTCATCCATGGTGTATGGCAGAGATTGGTAATCTTTTATTCAATTCATCATTCTTTAAAGAACGTAAGGCTGTAAACATTTTGCACCAATTTACTAGAGAGGTGATTGAGGAGAAAGAGAAAAACTTCGTCGATACTGATTTACCGAAAGAAGAACATGACGTGTACAAGGGAAAAAGAAAATTAGCTATGTTAGACCTTCTACTGTCGGCCAAAAAAAATGGACGAATAATTGATAACGAGGGTATCAGAGAAGAAGTTGACACTTTTATGTTTGAAGGGCATGATACGATAACTACGGCTCTAAGTTTCATGTTGATGCTACTAGCCAATAATAAAGATGTGCAAGTAAATTGCAGTTATTTTAACTAGAAACATTTTTAATGTCAGTTTTTAGGAACGCATCTACTCCGAATTGGTTGAAATATTTGGAGAAAACTTTAATGAAAACCCGACTTACAACGAACTGCAAAATTTGAAATATTTGGAACGTTGCATTAAAGAGAGTCTTCGGTTGTATCCTAGCGTCTTTTTCATGGCTAGAAATTTAGGAGAAGATTTAAAAACGGCGAGTGGATATTTACTTCCCAAGGGCACCCAAGTAGTCATGTACATCTATCCGATGCATCGAAATCCCGATCTTTACCCTGATCCTGACAAATTCGATCCTGACAGATTCCTGCCAGAGAATTGTCAACACAGACATCCTTACGCATATATTCCGTTCAGTGCGGGATCACGAAACTGCATAGGACAAAAATTTGCCATTTTGGAGATGAAGGTTGTTCTGTGCGCCATTTTGAGAAAATTTTTCTTAGAACCAGTTGATACTCCACAATCTATTGTCCTTATTATAGACATTATTCTAAGAACTAAGGATGAAATTAAAGTAAAATTTGTTCCACGGGATTAATAACCCAGTCGATTTTGTACTTTAGTTATAGAAACCTTTAAATCGCAAAATAAATACTTATACATACGTAAAACTGTTCTCTTGTAGACTTATTTATAATATTCGGCAGGTACTGAACAGAATGGGAAACTATAAAAAAAAACACTATACTATATGCCAATTTCATTGACAAGGTCAAATGATTGCACAGGACAAGCTAAATTTCTTTCTATATTCTACGCTTCTAGACTATTATGTCCCCAAATGTCCTATCTCATACTCTCATTACCCTATATGGTTTACAAAGGACATTCGATTTTATATCAAAGAAAAAAATCGGTACATAAAGCTACATAAAAAATTTAAATTTGAAATGGACCGGGACAAAATTAAAATGTATCGTCGAATAATAAGAAAACGTACGCGTGAAGAGTATTATAAATTTCAAATAAATGCCGAAAACGCTGTCAAAGAAGATTCTCGTAAATTATGGGCCTATATAAATAACAAAAGAAACACTAGTCGAATTCCTGCAAATATGGTTTACATGAATAAGTCGCTAACATCGCCCCAAGAAATTGTGGACATGTTCGCCCAACACTTTAGTAGTGTTTATAAACCAAATAATGATAGTGGCTGTGATAGTGCAAGTAATACATCAAATGGCGATAAATGTGCACCAATAATTACAAGGTGTGATACCACCAATTGTGATGTTTATGCAAATGTGATGCATACCTTTTGTGTAACTTCCAATGATATTACCAAAGCTGGAAAAAAACTGAAGAATTCATTCACCATGGGCCCTGACAATATACCAGCTTTTCTTGTGCGGGACTGCTTACCATGTATTGTTGCACCGCTTTTACATATTTTTAATCTTATTATTACAAATGCGCACTTTCCAAAGAGATGGAAACTTTCCAAAATTTGCCCTGTGCATAAATCAGGCTCGCATAATGACATTGTTAATTACAGACTAATTAGCTTACTATCGAATTTCTCAAAGATGTTTGAATCTATATTATCGAATCATATTTATAGTCATGTATCTAATTTAATTGTTGTAGAACAACATGGTTTTTACAAAGGTCGGTCTACTATTACAAACCTATGTGACTTTACACAATTTGTCTCGAATGCATTGAACAGCAAGCAGCAAGTAGATGTAGTGTATACAGACCTGACTAAGGCTTTTGATCGAGTCAGTCATACCATTTTAATTACTAAGCTCGAAAAATTTGGACTATGTAATAATCTTGTTCACTTAGTGTATTCGATTCTTAGTCATAGGTTTCAATATGTTGAGTACCAAGGATATAAATCAATACAGTTCGGGACTCATTCAGGTGTTACGCAAGGATCAAATTTAGGTCCGATATTATTTTTAATTTTTATTAATGACCTTGTTAAGCATTTACATTGTAAACCCCTTCTATATGCTGATGATCTAAAGATCATCAAAGTTATTGCTAACGATAATGATTGTAAATCACTGCAAAGTGACATAGATATAGTGGTTAGTTGGTGCATTAATAACGGCTTAGAAATAAATCGAAAAAAATGTAAAGTCATGACTTTTAGTAAAAAAATAAAAAATATAGTAAGCAGTTATTATATAAACAACGAGGAAATTGATAGATGTAATGAATTTAAAGATTTGGGGGTTATAATGGATTCTAGTTTGTCTTTTGTGCCTCATGTTAATTATATAGTTAACACTGCCGTTAAAATGTTAGGTTTTATAAATCGTAATACACGTGAGTTTAGAAGTCTAGAATGTATAAAATTGTTGTATAAGACTCTTGTTCGTAGTAGATTAGAGTATGCAAGCGTAATATGGAGTCCTTATTACAATGTACATATCAATGCAATTGAGCGTGTTCAGAAAAAACACTTAAAACATTTATATTTTGTAATGTCTGGCACTTATCCTTATAGGAATGTATCATACGATAGTCTTTTAGATCAGTTTAATATGCCAAGCTTAAATTCGAGGCGAACTTATAATTTACTTGTATTTTTATATAAATTAATTCATAGTATTATTGATAGCCCTGTTTTACTTAGCAATGTTAATTTTCAGGTACCGAGTTATGGAGTTCGCTCCTTTACTAGCATTTCTTTTGAAACGCCTAATACGAATCAGCATCTACACTCGCCACTTTTAAATATGTTTCGTTATTATCACAGCGTTCAAAACAACGTCGATATTTTTGAATCTTATATTATTTTTCAGAATAGAATCAAACTTTTACTTGATACGAACTTCTTTTAAGTGAATTTATCTTTAGTTTGTAAGATTGTATTCTTTTTAATACCCTACAAAAACATTTATGTTTGTTGGGTTATAATAAAATATTATTATTAAAATATTATTATTATTATTATATCTACGAAAGGAGAACTCAACAAATTGGAGTTAAAAAATAACCCACATATTTGCACTTTCTAGTACTTTCTACAGTCTTGATTCAAAACAATTATGGAAAATCGTAAATTACAAAAAATAATCTTAGCTCATTTAGTTTTGTTTTTTGAGATTCTAATGATATGGTCATTGCAAAACTTGATTTTCGATTAATATCAGTTTAGCTCTTTAATAAGTTTAGAAGATATTCCGTCCCACACTTTTCCCGAATGTGGTATAGAATCTCATATATACAAGGGTACATTACATATTAATGCAATCTGTATACACTACCTCAAGTCAGTACACCTAAACTTTATTCTGGGTTGCAGCCTATTAGTATTGTTATGATTATGAAGTAACCCATTGTCCGCCTCTGTACGACGCCTATGGGTTTTCTAGTAGATATGTTACAGCTAATATCCGAAATACGTTATTATGCATAATAACTAGACATTTTAGGAATTATGCGTAATAACTAAACTTGTCAGTTATTATGCATAATAACCGGAAAGATTAGGAATTATGCGTAATAACTGAAACTTTCAGTTATTATGCATAATAACGGGAACGTTTAGGTAATATTGATAGTAACTAACAGAGGAACAGGAATTATGCATAATACCTGAAATATTAGTCATTAAGCATATTGCCTAACATGTCCAGGTGATTTCACAAAAAAACGGGACAAAATGAGCAAATCAGGTTCTCATAGATCAATGAAAAGCAATGGGAATATGACGTTTATGTTACTGTAATTTGTCCCGTTTTTACTTTCCGAGCGTAAGCAAAGGAAGTATTGTAATCGAGTCCGTCGGCCGACTCTCTACTTTTACGTTTTCTCGATCTTTCATGACCCCTAGAGGACGAAGAAATAGGTCTCCCGTTTCCGTCTGTCTGTCCGTCTGTCCGTCTGTCCGTCTGTCTGCCGCCCCGGATTTTTATTAGACAGATAATCTCCGAAAGTACTGAACTGATTGTTGTGAAATTTTGTACTTATATTAGGAATATGATGTAGATGGTAAAACGCTAACCAAATTTTGTCTAATCAGGCCCACCACTAATGCGATGAGTCCTACACATGTAGTTTACGACTCAGAATTGAGTTTTTACCCGAAACGTCCAGATTTTTGGAAAAAAGATCAAAATTACAAAGCAACATTTTGCAATTAAATTTTGAATCTGCAAGACCGAATGCTTTGAAATTTGCAGATGGTTTACAGTTTAAGCATGGTAAATTTTTAGTCAAAATATATTTACTTGTCCCCTCCAAAAAATTGATGACGTCAGCTCAAAAGTTTGCCAAATAAATCCTATATAAAATGTACAAACTATGAAGTCTGTACTTGTGATTTATCATTCCATTCATATTTTTTTGATTTGCAAATACAGGGTGACTCAAAAAATTAATGAATGTGTGAATTTATTTTATTGAATTAATCAGGAACTACAATACCGACTGCTTTCAAATCTTGAATATGTTTTACAGTTTCCATAGGCATGGTAAATTTTTAGTCAAAATGTATTTGCTCCTCCCTCCTAAAAAATTTATGACGTCTCCTGAAAATTTTGCTGAATAAATCATATATTTCAAATGTACAAAATATGATGAGTCTGTATTGGATTTGCATATACAGGGTGAATCTAAAAAATTAATGAGTGCGTGAATTTATTGTATTAATTAAACCGATTATTTTGAAATCTTGGAGATGTTTTAAATTTATCATAAGTATGGTAAGATTTTTAATCAAAATATATTTGCTTTCTAAAATTGATGACGTCACCTTAAAATTTTACCGAACAAATTCTATCCTAAATGTGTAAAGAATGATGACTCTGTACTTGTGATTTATCACTGCATTAATATTTTGTAGATTTGCTTATACGGGGTGTCTGAAAAAAATTAATGACTAAGGGGCCAATTCCAAGTTGGTGGCGCAAGTCACTGGTGCAGCGCAACTTTATAATGCTAATTTGGGTATCAAATGCTGGTTGCTAGGGGTGACGGAATAAACAAGCGCAATTTTTCGAGATAAATTGCGCCAACGTGCACTGCCTACTAGAGGTGCCGCAACTCCATGGTGCAAATTTCAATGGAAAATTCGACAAAACTGCGTTTGTTGATTCCGTTACCCCTAGCAACCAGCATTTGATACCCAAATTAGCATTATAAAGTTGCGCTGCACCAGTGACTTGCGCCACCAACTTGGAATTGGCCCCTTAGTCAATTAATTTTATGGATTAAATCAAGAATTACAAAACTGAATACTTTGAAATACTATATACTTGGCAAATTATTAATCAAAATAAATCTGTTTATTTCCCCCACAAAATTGATGACGTTATCTCAAAATTTTGCCGCATAAATTCTACCCAAAATTATGTCGATTGTAGCTTACTAGTTAATTGTTTTAATCCTCTGTTTTCAGGGGACGAACTCATTCAAATCAAACTAATTTCTAGGTGACATTTTTTTGATGGATAAACATAAACACTTTCAAGTTGTTTTTCTTATCGAGGATAACCTAACGACGTTCAGTAATATAATAGAGTCCATTGGGCAATTTGTTACTTTCAAATTTTCTCGACATTTCATAACCCCTAGACAAGGCCGTAGCTAGGGGGAGGTTAGGGGATGCTCCCCTAGATCTAGACAAGTTATAATTAACCAAATGTGAATTACAGCATCCAAAAACCGAATAAAATGTAGGTAGTGTTTTATTCAATAAACGGAAATCAGAGCAATAAAAATGTCTGGTCCGTCGGCATTGTCATCCGGTTATTCCAATTCGTGGAAAACATGTTTTAGTTTAGTTTATGTTTCACCGTCACGTCTACAGGTTGATAAGTGTTATGGCTATTTGTCTTAAATTACAAGTACTATACAAGATGTTCCTTTTATCTGTTCACGCCTGACAATTTTTGCATAGGCGACATATTATACACCCCAGAGACGACTTTGTTTTTAATAAGCAATCATAGGAATCACAAAAAAAATGACAAAGATGTCAATGCCAAATAATGATAAAATTTAAACAATTAATACTTACTCAATTTTTATTTTAAAATGTCCCGCCACCAAAATGTAATACGAAAAAAACATAATAGGCGTGCAGTCGTCACGTTTCCGACAGCGAGGGAAGTACTGTCTAAACTCTTTGGACCAATTTTTTTTTTAAATCAACTGTACATGTGATATGTAGGGGAAAGTGAAGCAGGGTGGGTAGCTTTTTTGAAAATATTATGCATAATTCCTGTTCCTCTGTTAGTTATTATCAGTATTACCTAAACGTTTCCGTTATTATGCATAATTCCTAATCTTTCCGGTTATTATGCATAATAACTGACAAGTTTAGTTATTACGCATAATTCCTAAAATGTCTAGTTATTATGCATAATAACGGATTTCGGATATTAGCTGTAACAGATACAATGCCGCGATTATTGGTGACTCACCAACGGTGACGGCGGCGTTCAAGTAAAGGAAAGCCTGGAACTTGTCGCCAGAGGCCGTGATGAGCAAGAAATCTGAATTTTTCAAGGAATGCAAAAATATTTAGCCAAGAGGGCTATATACTTTGGCATATAGTGAAAATAACAGACATCAACATATTATATTATGGGAGGTAAATGCTGAGAAGGTAATTATTTTTTAAACAAACAAAAATTGGAAATTTCCAAAGTTACCAGGTTTTGGGAGAACAAGAATATAAAAAGGGCTGGGAGATACGTAATGCAACTAACAATAAAACTAATTATTATTTATTTTTTACAAGATTACGCATAGCTACACTTCTGCTGCTCATCGAGTCACCCATTCTGGTAAACTCCTTCGCCATATTTTTGAGCAAAAAGTATAACCTACTTTTTATGTAAAATTGAACAATTTTTTCCAGAATATTATGGCACAATGGAATATCTTCTAACAAAGGGTACAAAAACTATACACGTGCTATACACCACAGAACTCAATTTATGTGACGTAGCAGAGAATGCGTCCTTGAAGCACTTCTACCAGTAAACTTTTAGTAATGTACAAAAGACACTAAAAAGCGCCACCATTTTGGGGCAAAATTGACATATCTCTCTCTAACTCATGGGCCTAATGGATTGCGGTACTTAATCTATCTAGTGACTTTATCCAGAACAACCTCGATCGTGAAATCTCTAGAAAGGAGCGCGTGACAGTTTAAATAAGGACCACCGTCCAAAGCAAGCCAGTTTAGTCTAATCCAGCCGAGTCGATTAATGAGTATCAGACGAATTAGATTATAAATAGATGGAATAAATTTGTGAATTTCTACACGTCGGTTTTAATACCCGTAAATCATAACAATATTCTCCCCACTCTTTCAAAAATCTTAAAAAATGGAAAAAGTCTCAGTAATTTCTGATCAGGTGGTATTATATATATATTACGGTTTTAATACTGAATCTGTCTATGTGTTTCGCTCAGTTGTAAACAGCAGACTCTGGATTGTTTAGTACAATAACTTGGTTTCAAATATTGCCCTAGTTACTTAGGTAGAAGCGCTCTGAGACTTTTATATATATTTTGCATTTTATATATCTGACCTGTCAAATGTTATTCGGCATTCAAGTAATCTTTAATATGCAGACAAGACCCTACTGATTTCTTAATTTTAGACATCTGAAACAAATACACTGCCGGAATTAAATTCTTCATTCAGTTTACTTTAGTTCCACAAACGTAAGACATTTGTTTCAAAACAGTATCCATCCAGCTATTTTCTACACTCTCGTGCTTAGTAATAGTTAACAACTGTTTGCTTTGTAATTTCATACTGTTCATCAATCTCTAAACACCTAATTATTGCATAAACATTAGATTACATAATTACCAACTGCAAAAATAATTGTTTAAAGTCATGTGAAATGATAGTAACTAGTTGACCTTATGTAAGCAACTCTCAGACTTTGTAGTACCATCATTTCGCTTTGTCGTTGTTTTCATTATTAATTAATTTTGTGAATTTGTCTTTTGCTTTTTATTACATCCCGAGCGTAAGCGAAATCCGTCGACCGACCATCTACTTTTACGTTTTCTAGAGTTTTCATGACCCCCAGAGTACGGAGAAATAGGTCTCCCATTTCCGCCTGCCGTCTATACGGATTTTTATTAGACAGTTAATCTCAAAAACTACTGTACCAATTGTTGTCAAAATATATTTGCTTATTTTTATTCAGGTCAAAATTTTGTCGGATAAATCCAATCTAGAATATCTAAAATATGATGAGTCTGTTATTGTGATTTATCATTGCGTTCACATTTTTTAGATTTTCTGATACAGGTAGCTCAAAGAAATTAATGAATCAGTCAATTTATTTTATTGATTTCAGTATTACGCTGCATCAATCCCAGTTGATATACGTGTCCTAGTAAAAATGTTAACGTCTTCACAAAATTCTATAAGGTAAAAACTCATTTGAAGCGTAGCATTTTTTACTTTAAGATTATATATAAATATATTTTTATTTCCATTTATATATGGATTCTTATAAAACAATAAAATTCGAAACATCAAATTTTATAGTTGCCCGAAAATGCTGCATATGTTTCATTCTTGTCTTGTTATTTTTTGATATATGATGTTGGTTAAAAATTTATTAGTCCTCAGTGCAAGTCGTTTTAAAAAATGAAAATGTCAACATTATACAATCTTCATATTTTCTGTGTCACCAATTTGAAAAATTCACAATTCTGCGACATTTATACTACATAAATCATTTCAACAAAGTAATTATATGTATACTATGGGACACAAAGAGTTCTATTCTAAAGTTTGAAATCAAAATGAAAAAAGTCTGATTTTGTATATTGTTTAAGCCGTTTTGTGTACATGTAACAGAAATGATTCCGAATCTTTACCTTGAGTCATTGGGCTAAAATTATCATGCATAAAGTGAATTCGCATGTTTTTCCATGCAGAGGAGTGGTAACAACACTGTTACTAATACTAATAAAAATGACCAAATGGCTTAGTCGGTTGAAGGAAATCTTGTTATACGTTTTCACAAATACCTGTACTGGAAAATACATAATGAATACCGTATTACAAATAAATCTTGTTATTGTGTTTATTCTACTGGCATTGTATATTTTAAGAAGTTTACAAACTTTATATATTTCTATTAAAAATCATGTGAAATTGCAAAAATTACCAGGACCACCCAGATATGGAATAATCAAGGGAAACGTGCCATACCTAGGAGACTCTCCAGGTAAATCATCTGACTATTAATTAAACCTCCAACCATTCTTTCAGAGGTGTTGTTTCAACAACTAAGGCAAGCCGCAAAAGAATTTTATCCAGTGTACAGATTTTACGTAGCACATAAAATAAGTGTCCATCTTGTAACTCACCAGGATTGTGAAGTACCTAATTTTTTGTTCATATTTATTTCCAACATTCTGACTCTCTTTTGTTAGTTGGTTATGTCCAATCCCATTCACAACGAAAAAGGATATGTCTACAAAATGACACATAAGTGGTTAAAGTTCGGTCTTCTGACCAGTTTCGGACAGAAGTGGCAGATCAGAAGAAAAATTCTAACACCAGCGTTTCACTTCAACATTCTTCAGGGATTTGTCTCGGTTTTCAACGAACAAACGGAACAACTTATAGATGCCTTGAAAGATGAATCTAAAAAATCTTACGTCGAGATAAATTCTCTGATAACACAGTTCACTTTAAAAACGATTACAGGTTGTATATTCTTATTTTAAAACACTTTTTTTAAGTAACTCCTTCCAGAGACGGCAATGGGTACTAAATTCAATTTCCAACGTAAAAACGAACGCAACTACGAGAAAGCACTTCATGACATGGGTAAAATCTTTTACCACAAATTTACCCATCCGTGGTGCATCGAAGAAATCGGAAACTTCCTATTTTCTCCTTTCTTTTTTGAAGAAAGAAAAAATACAAAAACGATGCACCAATTTTCGAAAGAAGTGATTCAAGAGAAAGAAAAAACATTCAATGACGAAGAAGCGACAGAAGAGCACAGTGTTTACAAAGGGAAAAAACGTAGAGCCATGTTAGATCTTCTGTTGTCTGCCAAAAGGAACGAAAGCGTTATTGACGACGACGGTATCCAGGAAGAAGTTGACACTTTTATGTTCGAAGGACACGACACGACAGCTACGGCTCTAAGTTTTATGTTGATGCTTCTAGCTAACAACGAAAATGTCCAAGTAAAAGGAAACTATAACGTTTAGAAAGAAATCTAATTCTGAATTTTAGCGTTGCGCGTACCAAGAAATCGTCGAAATTCTTGGAAACTCGAATAAGAAACCAACTTACGACAATCTACAAAATTTGAAATATATGGAACGCTGCATCAAGGAGAGTCTTCGATTGTATCCCAGCGTCTATTTTATCTCGAGAATTTTAGGTGAAGATCTAAGGCTCACGAATGGATATCTACTACCAAAAAGTACTAATGTTTTTATACACATTTACGATGTTCATCGCAATCCTGACGTTTATCCTGATCCAGAAAGATTTGACCCCGACAGATTCCTGTCCGAAAATTGCCAAAACAGACATCCTTACGCATATTTGCCTTTTAGTGCCGGACCGAGAAATTGCATAGGACAAAAGTTCGCCATCTTGGAGCTGAAAGCTGCAGTGTGTGCAATTTTAAGTAATTTTGTACTAGAGCCAATCGACACCCAAGAAAATATCAAACTTGTGGCCGATATTGTACTCAGAACGAAAGAAGATATAAAAATAAAATTCATACCGCGCTTTTGAACAAGAAAAATATCCCAATATTACTTTACTCTAGGTATGGGAATAGAACTTTTGTAATAGTGTTAGAGTTATTTTTACTAAATATAGTATATTGTTGTGGGTCGCACTATGGAATAAAGCTCTTAATGCTCACTTTCTTTCCCTACTTGTTTTACCTATAATTTATGATGGCTGGAAATCGATACACCAATATTGGAATTTGAACAAGTTGGTATTCTGAAAAAATTTCGTACCTTTACAATCTACATGTTTTGCACATTTTACATATTTGTAACATGTGTCATCAAATATTTACTATTCGCTTGTTTAAAATAAACTATCGATTACTTATAGAAATCCATGCACGGAAAAGATAAATATTTATCTTGAGTCTATGGAAGTATTATCTATTTCTCATTTAATTAACTCGAATTAAATCGAAACCGATTTAATCTAACGACATGCTGCTGATATTTATTGATATAGTACAACCATGCTTTCTTTCCGATTGAAATGGCAAAATAAATTATTAAATTAACCAATTACAACCGAAACCAAAACTAAACTTCTGTTTTCTACAAAAGATGCTCAAAATGCTCTCTATTTACTTCCTGACAGTAAAAAGACGTTGAATAAAATTTTGTAGTGAGTTAATGAGAATTTCTGGACGAATGCTAGCAATTTCGTTACGTATGCGTTTTCAATCTGACTTCACAAAAAAAAGTCAAGCGTTGTCAAATCCGGTGAACTGGCAGGCCACTCAATAGTACCCCTTTGGCCTATCCACCTGCCAGGAAAAGTTTCATTTAAATACTGTCGCACTTGACGTCCAAAATGGTGTGGAGCACCGTCTTGTTGAAACCAAAAAGTTTCTGCTGGTGATTCGGGATTTCACTTGCCGCCCTGGAAACATACCCGGTAAATGTAAAGGTAATGTAAACCTATATTTAATTCAAGCAACAAGGTTTTCCATTTTACTTTTTTGTCGTTCCGTCACACTTTTTTTACAGTTGCGCACCTGTATTTTGGATTATATTGTTATCTATATCCTGATTTATTTTCCCTTTTTTTATTGCGTCTGTTAGTCATTTCATACCCGCGTTTATCAGAATCTTTCTTGCTTTTAGCAAATTACATCTTCACAGATTTCCATCAAAAAATTATCAAATTAACATGTGGTTAATATTATCATAGCGCAAACACTAATTTTTGCCTTGTCACGAGAATTAATACTGATATTTTTTATATATTTATTTTGTTGTTAACAGTACACCATTGTATGTTATTACTCGTTATTAAAGGCAGAAATTTAGTATCGTGATAACAGCTGACCTTTTATTATCACTTATCAATGAAAGTATTTTACTGTGAAAAAAGTGCAATGTTCTGAGAACACAAAATACATTGCAACCACATCAATATGTAGCTTTTACTTTACTTTTTGTGTGTTTTTTTCTACAGAATGAGCGGTTGCGGACTCAAAAAAATTAAGTTCTTATTAGACAATAAAACGTCATATCATTAACACTAATAACATTCAACAATAACATAACATTCGTTCTTATTTATCACTCGGTGCGTTATAATCTCATAATTTATAATAAATACTAAGTATATATCGTTACCCCCACAACACCTGTCTAGATAATGCCAACGTGGTTGGCGAAACTCGTCGACAAATGTATATCTTTTTTGAGTTTTCGGTGTTGTGAGGATAACCGTTACAATATTTTCGTTATTGTGGTGCACAGGTAAGCATATCTTGTGTACACCGATATAACTCGATACTTCAATTAATGTATCAAGAATAATTTGTCGTTTGTAACTCTCAATTGTCCTTTAGCACCAAGATAAAAAGTTCGTTTTCTGTAATTATGATATCAAAATAGATTTATTCTTGTTTACTGTTTTTACTAACAGCGGAATTTTTGCTGAACTGATGCACTCTCATTTTTTTATTCGTATATAGGCGATGAGTTTGAAAACACACATACATACATCTCTACGTTGAAGTGGCAACGTAAAAAAGTTCTTTCATTTCAAATAACTAATGTTTGGTGATATTTCACAGAAAAATTTAAAATGCCCATTTCTCTAATCTACATTATTTTATTACCTTTAGTATTTTATCTCATAAATAAGATATATGCATTATACATTTATATCAAAAACTATGTAATTGTGCAAAAGTTACCAGGACCTCCCAGGGGTGGCATCATAATGGGGAATTCAGCAGGCTTTGGAAAGACGGCAGGTAAATATTAAAAAAAAACATACAACAATAAAAGTTTCGATTTTTGTTTCAGAAGCGGTGTTTCAAAGCGTCACTCAAGCTGCAAAAGAATTTTATCCAATTTATTCGGTATATGCAGTACATTTAACTTCAGTCTGCATTCTCTCGCCAGAAGATTGCGAGGTAATTTTTTCTTTTGAATTTATTTATATACCTTTCCCATTTATATCACTCTAGTTAGTACTCTCTAATCCCATTCACAACGAAAAAGGATTTATTTACAAACTAATTCAAAAATGGCTACAATTTGGACTTTTAACTAGCTTTGGGGCGAAATGGCAAACTAGAAGAAGAATTCTAACACCAGCCTTCCACTTCAGTATTCTTCAACAGTTTGTTTCGGTTTTCAATGAACAAGCAGAACAACTCGTAGAAATACTGAGTGAAGAATGTAGCAAATCATACGTCAAAGTGAATTCCGTTTTAGCGCAGTTCACCTTAAAAACAATATCTGGTATTGTATAGAGTTTTAAAAAGTACTTAGTTCTTATGCGTTGGTTGTTTACAGAAACAGCGATGGGTATCAAACTCGAGTTTAAAAATAAAAAAGATCAAGCTTATAAAAAAGCGGTTCATGATATTGGCGAAATGTTTGCTTATAGAGTCATACATCCATGGTGTTTCGGAGAGATTGGTAATCTTATATTCAATTCTTCATTCTTTAAAGAACGTAAGACTGTAAAAATTTTGCACGAATTTACTAGAGAGGTGATTGAGGAGAAAGAGAAAAACTTCGTGGATACTGATTTACCGAAAGAAGAGCATGACGTGTATAAAGGAAAAAAGAGGTTAGCTATGTTAGATCTTCTACTATCGGCCAAAAAAAATGAAGGAATTATTGACAACGAGGGTATCAGAGAAGAAGTTGACACTTTTATGTTTGAAGGACATGATACAACAACTACGGCTCTAAGTTTCATGTTGATGCTTCTAGCCAATAATAAAGATGTGCAAGTAAATTGCAGTTATTTTAACTAAAAACATTTTTTAATGTCAGTTTTTAGGAATGCATCTACTCCGAATTGGTTGAAATTTTTGGAGACTTGAATAAAAAACCGACTTACAACGAACTGCAAAATTTGAAATATTTGGAGCGTTGCATTAAAGAGAGTCTTCGGTTGTATCCTAGCGTCTTTTTCATTTCTAGAAATTTAGGAGAAGATTTAAAAACGGCAAGTGGATATTTACTTCCCAAGGGTACTCAAGTATTCGTGCACATTTATGCGATGCATCGAAATCCCGATCTTTATCCTGATCCTGAAAAATTCGACCCTGACAGATTCCTGCCAGAGAATTGTCAACACAGACATCCTTACACATATATACCATTCAGTGCGGGATCACGAAATTGCATTGGACAAAAATTTGCCATTTTAGAGATGAAGGTTGCTCTGTGCGCCATTTTGAGAAAATTTTTCTTAGAACCAGTCGATACTCCACAATCTATTGTCCCTATTGTAGACATTATTCTCAGAACTAAGGATGAGATTAAAGTAAAATTTGTTCCACGTGATTAATAATAATCTTTAATATCCTAATCAATTTTGTACATTAGTTGTAGGAACACTGAAATAGGGAAATAAATATTTATATACAGGATGATTATTTTATCTGTTCACGCCTGCATAAGTCCCAATAGGCAACACATTTTGCTTACCATAAACGACTTCGTTTTAAATTTTTTATAAATAATAAATAACGTCTAGATGGTAATCATTGCGCCAAAATTATGACAAATTAATTCTCTCAAATTATTTTCAACTTTTGCTAATAGTGTTTTAGAATTCCGAAAAGTTCATGTATATCGGAAGTTCTGTGTGCCCAATATATACCCTGTGATCAAAAATGACTGAGTCTGTTGGTAGAAGTTTTTAAACAAATGTGTGAACTTTTCTTGGGTTTATATTGGTATAACAGAAGTAATTGTGTGACAGATAGATTTAGGTTATGTTTTGGATATATTTTGCATATTAAAAATGTCAACAATTTGTCAATCTTGACAGCTGCCAACCGAAAATCAAAGAAGACAAATGATACAAATTTCAACTAAAAATCCAGGCTTGCCAATCATTTCTGATAACGCTGTATTTTATTGTGGTTTTATTACTGAATCTGTCTATCTGATTCGTTCAGTTTTAAGCAGTAGACTCTGGATTGTTTAGTGCAATAACTTGGTTTCAAATATTGCCCAGTTACCTAAAGAAGCGCACTGGGACTTTCATATTTTACATATTTCCTTCCACAAACGGACGACATTTGTTTTAAAACATTATCTATTCAGCTATTTGGTATGGTGTGCTTAATAATTGTTAACAATTGTTTGCTTTATAATTCTTCCTTTTTATTAAAGTCTAAGCACATAATTATTGCATAAACATGGGGTACATTGCACAATTACCAACTGCAACAATAATTGTTTAAAGTCAAGTGAAATTATAATGATACTAATAGTCGATCTTATGAAAGCAACTGTCAGACTTTGTACTAAAAAAATGAAAAAAAAATAATAATTTCCCCGTCTCATTGTTCTTATTAATATGGATTTGAATTTTTTCTTTTGCTTTTTATTTTAACATAACAGATTTCTGTTTGTTTGCTGTTTTTGTAACAAATATGTTTCGGAAATTTTTGAACTGACGCTGTTTTGTGACTTGAAACTATCTTTTTTCAAAATTTAAAATGGTCGTTATTCTATCTCGCTAACAGATTTTTGATATTCGTCTTAAATACTTATTCACAAGTTACTAACACGAGTTTTGTTATTTTTTGATACATGGTGTTGTACGATCTTCATGTTTTATGTGTTACCAATTGAAAATTTTCCTCTGCGACGTCTATACACATAAATCATTTGAAAATAATTATATTTGTGTACGATAAGACACAAAGAGTTCAAAGTCTGAAATCAAAATCAAATACAATTTTATTGATTTTGTGATTTTGCTCTTTTTGCTTGCAACCTTTTAAACATTTTACAAAAAGTCGGATATTGTATATTGTGATTGTCTGAAATTATTTCTCTTTGAGCCGTTTTGGTTAGCTGTACAAATAACAGAAATGATTCCGAATTTGTACCTTGACTTATTTGGTCATTTGGCTAAAATTATCATAAAGTGAATAAGTACGCATGTTTTTCCACGCAGGGGAATAATAACAACATCGTCACCAATACTCGTGATAAAAGTGTCCAAACGGGTCAGTCGGTGGAAGAAAATCTTGTTATACGTTTTCACAAATACCCGTATTGGAAAATATATAATGAATATCGTATTGCAAGTAAATCTTATAATTGTGTTTATCGTACTGCTATTGTATATTTTAAAAAGTTTGCAAACTTTATACATTTCTATTAAAAATTATGTGAAATTGAAAAAATTACCAGGACCACCCAGCTATGGAATAATCAAGGGAAACGTGCCATACCTGGGAGACTCTCCAGGTAAATCATCTGACTATTAATTAAACCTTCAACCATTCTTTCAGAGGTGTTGTTTCAACATGTAAGACAAGCCGCAAAAGAATTTTATCCAGTGTACAGATTTTATGTAGCACATAAAATATGTGTCAACCTTCTAACTCACCAAGATTGTGAAGTACTTAAATTTTTTTTCGTATTTATTTACAACAATCTGACTTAGTTGGTTATGTCTAATCCCATCCACAACAAAAAAGGATACATCTATAAAACGGCAAACAAATGGCTAAAGTACGGACTTCCGACCAGTTTTGGAGAGAAGTAGCAGATCAGAAGAAAAATTCTAACACCAGCGTTCCACTTCAACATTCTTCAGGGATTTGTCTCGGTTTTCAACGAACAAACGGAACAACTTATAGATGCCTTGAAAGATAAATCTAAGAAATCTTACGTTGAAATAAATTCTCTGATAACTCAGTTCACTTTAAAAACGATTACAGGTTGTACATTCATGTTTTAAAACACTTTTTGTTTAAGTAACTCCTTTCAGAGACAGCAAAGGGTACTAAACTCAACTTTGAAAATAAACAAGAACACGACTACGCGAAAGCAATTCATAACATAGGTAAAATCCTTTACCACAAATTTACCCATCCGTGGTGCATCGAAGAAATCGGTAACTTCCTATTTTCTCCTTTCTTTTTTGAAGAAAGAAAAAATACAAAAACGATGCACCAATTTTCGAAAGAAGTGATTCAAGAGAAAGAAAAAACATTCAATGACGAAGAAGCGACAGAAGAGCACAGTGTTTACAAAGGGAAAAAACGTAGAGCCATGTTAGATCTTCTGTTGTCTGCCAAAAGGAACGAAAGCGCTATTGACGACGACGGTATCCAGGAAGAAGTTGTCACTTTTATGTTCGAAGGACACGACACGACAGCTGCGGCTCTAAGTTTTATGTTGATGCTTCTAGCTAACAACGAAAATGTGCAAGTAAAAGGAAACTATAACGTTTAGGAAAAAATCTAATTCTAAATTTTAGCATTGCGCTTATCGTCGAAATTCTTGGAAACCCGAATAAGAAACCAACCTATGACGATTTACAAAATTTGAAATATATGGAACGCTGTATCAAGGAGAGTCTTCGATTGTATACCAGCGTCTATTTTATCTCGAGAACTTTAGGTGAAGATCTAAGGCTCACGAATGGATATCTACTACCAAAAAATACTAATGTTTTTATACACATTTACGATGTCCATCGCAATCCTGACGTTTATCCTGATCCTGAAAGATTTGACCCCGATAGATTCCTGCCCGAAAATTGCCAAAACAGACATCCTTACGCATATTTACCTTTTAGTGCCGGACCGAGGAATTGTATAGGACAGAAGTTCGCTATCTTGGAGCTGAAAGCTGCAGTGTGTGCAATTTTAAGTAATTTTGTACTAGAGCCAATCGACACCCAAACTTATGGCCGATATTGTACTCAAAACGAAAGAAGATATAAAAATAAAATTCATACCGCGCTTTTGAACAAGAAAGATATCCCAATTTTACTTTACTCTAGGTATGGGAATAGAGCTTTTGTAATAGTGTTAGAGTTATTTTTACTAAATATAGTATATTGTTGTGGGTCGCACTATGGAATAAAGCTCTTAATGCTCACTTTCTTTCCCTACTTGTTTTCCCTATAATTTATGATGGCTGAAAATCGACACACCAATACTGGAATTTGAACAATTTTACATATTTGTAACATTGTCATCAAATATTTACTATTTGCTTGTTTAAAATAAACTATCGATTACTTATGAAAATCCATGCACGGAAATGATAAATATTTATCTTGAGTCTATGGAAGTATTATCTATTTCTCATTTAATTAACTCGAATTAAATCGAAACCGATTTAATCTAACGACATGCTGCTGATATTTATTGATATAGTACAACCATGCTTTCTTTCCGATTGAATTAGCAAAATAAATTATTAAATTAACCAATAACAACCGAAATCAAAACTAAACTTCTGTTTTCTACAAAAGATGCTCAAAATGCTCTCTATTTACTTCCTGACAGTAAAAAGACGTTGAATAAAATTTTGTAGTGAGTTAATGAGAATTCGTTACGTATGCGTTCCTGTAAGTTTTCAATCTGACTTCACAAAAAAAAGTCAAGCGTTGTCAAATCCGGTGACCTGGCAGACCACTCAATAGTACCCCTTTGGCCTATCCACCTGCCAGGAAAAGTTTCATTTAAATACTGTCGCACTTGACGTCCAAAGTGGGGTGGAGCACCGTCTTGTTGAAACCAAAGAGTCTCTGCTGGTAATTCGGGATTTCACTTGCCGCCCTGGAAACATACCCGGTAAATGTAAAGGTAATGTATACCTATATTTAATTCAAGCAACAAGGTTTTCCATTTTACTTATTTGTCGCCCCGTCACACTTTTTTTACAGTTGCGCACCTGTATTTTGGATTATATTGTTATCTATATCCTGATTTATTTTCCCTTTTTTTATTGCGTCTGTTAGTCATTTCATACCCGCGTTTATCAGAATCTTTCTTGCTTATAGCAAATTACATCTTCACAGATTTCCATAATAAAATTATCAAATTAACATGTGATTAATATTATCATAGCGCAAACACTAATTTTTGCCTTGTCACGAGAATTAATACTGATATTTTTTATATATTTATTTTGTTGTTAACAGTACACCAGTTGAGTAAGGCAGAAATTTAGTATCGTGATAACAGCTGACCTTTTATTATCATTTATCAATGAAAGTATTTTACTGTGAAAAAAGTGCAATGTTCTGAGAACCCAAAATAGATTGCAACCACATCAATATGTAGCTTTTATTTTACTTTTTTGTGTGGTTTTTTTCTACAGAATGAGCGGTTGCGGACTCAAAAAAATTAAGTTCTTAGACAATAAAACGTCATATCATTAACACTAATAACATTCAACAATAACATAACATTCGTTCTTATTTATCACTCGGTGCGTTATAATCTCATAATTTATAATAAATACTAAGTATATATCGTTACCCCCACAACACCTGTCTAGATAATGCCAACGTGGTTGGCGAAACTCGTCGACAAATGTATATCTTTTTTAAGTTTTCGGTGTTGTGGGGATAACCGTTACAATATTTTCGTTATTGTGGTGCACAGGTAAGCATATCTTGTGTACACCGATATAGCTCGATATTTCAATTAATGTATCAAGAATAATTTGTTTTTTGTAACCCTCAATTGTCCTTTAACACCAAGATAAAAAGTACGTTTTCTGGAATTATGACATCAAAACAGATTTATTCTTGTTTACTGTTTTTAATAACAGCGGAATTAACGCTATTATTATTATTCATATATCGGCGATGAGTTTGAAAACACACATACATACATCTCTACATTAAAGTGGCAACGTAAAAAAGTTCTTTCATTCCAAATAACCAATTTTTGGTAATATTTCACAGGAAAATTTAAAATGTCCATTTCTTTACTCTACATTATTTTATTACCTTTAGTATTTTATCTCATAAATAAGATACATGCATTATACATTTATGTCAAAAACTATGTAATTGTGCAAAAGTTACCAGGACCTGCCAGAGGTGGCATCATAATGGGGAATATAGGAGGCTTTGGAAACACGGCAGGTAAATATTAAAAAAAAAACATAAAACAATGAACGTTTCGATTTTTGTTTCAGAAGCGGTGTTTGAAAGCGTCACTCAAGCTGCAAAAGAATTTTATCCAATTTATTCGGTATATGCAGTACATTTAACTTCAGTCTGCATTCTCTCGCCAGAAGATTGTGAGGTAATTTTTTCTTTTGAATTTATTTAAATACGTTTCCCATTTATATCACTCCAGTTAGTACTCTCTAATCAAATTCACAACGAAAAAGGATTTATTTACAAACTAATTCAAAAATGGTTACAATTTGGACTTTTAACTAGCTTTGGAGCGAAATGGCAAACTAGAAGAAGAATTCTAACACCAGCTTTCCACTTCAGTATTCTTCAACAGTTTGTTTCGGTTTTTAACGAACAAGCAGAACAGCTCCTAGAAACACTGAGTGAAGAATGTAGCAAATCATACGTTAAAGTGAATTCCGTTTTAGCACAGTTCACCTTAAAAACAATATCTGGTATTGTATAGAATTTTAAAAAGTAGTTCTTATGCGTTGGTTGCTTACAGAAACAGCGATGGGTATCAAACTCGAGTTTAAAAATAAAAAAGATCAAGCTTATAAAAAAGCGGTTCATGATATAGGCGAAATGTTTGCTTATAGAGCCATACATCCATGGTGTTTCGAAGAGATTGGTAATCTTTTATTCAACTCTGCATTCTTTAAAGAACGTAAGACTGTAAAAATTTTGCACGAATTTACTAGAGAGGTGATTGAGGAGAAAGAGAAAAACTTCGTCGACACTGATTTACCGAAAGAAGAACATGACGTGTACAAGGGAAAAAAGAGGTTGGCTATGTTAGATCTCCTACTATCGGCCAAAAAAAATGAAGGAATTATTGATAACGAGGGTATCAGAGAAGAAGTTGACACTTTTATGTTTGAAGGACATGATACAACAACTACGGCTCTAAGTTTCATGTTGATGCTTCTAGCCAATAATAAAGATGTGCAAGTAAATTGCAGTTATTTTAACTAGAAACATTTTTTAATGCCAGTTTTTAGGAACGCATCTACTCCGAATTGGTTGAAATTCTTGGAGACTTAAATAAAAAACCGACTTACAACGAACTGCAAAATCTAAAATATTTGGAGCGTTGCATTAAAGAGAGTCTTCGGTTGTATCCTAGCGTCTATTTCATTTCTAGAAATTTAGGAGAAGATTTAAAAACGGCAAGTGGATATTTACTTCCCAAGGGCACTCAAGTATTTGTGCACATTTATGCAATGCATCGAAATCCCGATCTTTATCCTGATCCTGAAAAATTTGATCCTGACAGATTTCTGCCAGAGAATTGTCAACACAGACATCCTTACGCATATATTCCGTTCAGTGCGGGATCACGAAATTGCATTGGACAAAAATTTGCCATTTTGGAGATGAAGGTTGTTCTGTGCGCCATTTTGAGAAAATTTTTCTTAGAACCAGTTGATACTCCACAATCTATTGTCCCTATTATAGACATTATTCTAAGAACTAAGGATGAGATTAAAGTAAAATTTGTTCCGCGTGATTAATAGTAATCTTTAATATCCTTGTCAATTTTGTACATTAGTTGTAGGAACAATGAAATAGGGAAATAAATATTTGTATACAGGATGATTATTTTATCTGTTCACGCCTGCATAAGTCCGAATAGGCAACACATTTTGCTTACCATAAACGACTTCGTTTTAAATTTTTTATAAATAATAAATAACGTCTAGATGGTAATCATTGCGCCAAAATTATGGCAAATTAATTCTCTCAAATTATTTTCAACTTTTGCTAATAGTGTTTTCGAATTCCGAAAAATTCATGTATATCGCAAGCTTAGTTAATATTAAATGACTTTGCAAATTTCAACAAAAAATCCAGGCTTGCCAATAGACTCGGTCATTTCTGACCACGCGGTACTATATTGTGGTTTTATTACTGAATCTGTCTATCTGATTCGTTCAGTTTTAAGCAGCAGACTTTGGATTGTTTAGTGCAATAACTTGGTTTCAAATATTGCCCATTTACCTAAAGAAGCGCACTGGGACTATCATATTGACATGTTTAACATTTTATACATCTGATTTGTCAAATGTTATTCGAAGTATTCTTTGATATGCACACAATACCCTACTGATTTCTTAGTTTAAGACATCTGAAACAAATACAGTGCCGGCATTAAATTCGTCATCCAATTTACTTCAGTTCCACAAACGGAAGATATTTGTTCCAAAACATTATCTATCCAGATATTTGGTATGGTGTGCTTAATAATTGTTAACAATTGTTTGCTTTATAATTTCTTCCTGTTCATTAAACTCTAAACACATAATTATTGCATAAACATGGGGTACATTACACAATTACCAACTGCAACAATAATTGTTTAAAGTCAAGCGAAATTATAATGATAATAATAGTCGACCTTATGTAAGCAACTATCAGACCTTGTACTAAAAAAATTCAAAAAAAAACATAATTTCGCCCTGTCTCATTGTTATTATTAATATGAATTTGAATTTTGTCTTTTGCTTTTTATTTTAACATAACAGATTTCTGTTTGTTTACTGTTTTTGTAACAAATATGTTTCGGAAATTTTTGAACTGACGCTGTTTTGTGACTTGAAACTATCTTTTTTCAAAATTTAAAATGGTCGTTATTCTATCTCGCTAACAGATTTTTGATATTCGTCTTAAATACTTATTCACAAGTTACTAACACGAGTTTTGTTATTTTTTGATACATGGTGTTGTACGATCTTCATATTTTATGTGTCACCAATTGAAAATTTTCCTCTGCGATGTCTATACACATAAATCATTTGAAAATAATTATATTTGTATACGATAAGACACAAAGAGCTCAAAGTCTGAAATCAAAATCAAACACAATTTTATTGATTTTGTGATTTTGCTCTTTATGCTTCCAACCTTTTAAAAATTTTACCAAAAATCGGATACTGTATATTGTGATTGTGTGAAATTATTTCTCTTTAAGCCGTTTTGGTTAGCTGTACAAATAACAGAAATGATTCCGAACTTTTACCCTGACTTATTTGGTCATTTGGCTAAAATTATCATAAATCGAAGAAGTACGCATGTTTTTCCACGCAGGGGAATAATAACAACACCGTCACCAATACTCGTGATAAAAGTGTCCAAACGGGTCAGTCGGTGGAAGGAAATCTTGTTATACGTTTTCAAAAATACCCGTATTGGAAAATAGATAATGAATACCGTATTACAAGTAAATCTTATTATTGTGTTTATCCTACTGGTATTGTATATTTTAAAAAGTTTGCAAACTTTATACATTTCTATTAAAAATTATGTGAAATTGAAAAAATTACCAGGACCACCCAGCTATGGAATAATCAAGGGAAACGTGCCATACCTGGGAGACTCTCCAGGTAAATCATCTGACTATTAATTAAACCTTCAACCATTCTTTCAGAGGTGTTGTTTCAACAAGTAAGGCAAGCAGCAAAAGAATTTTATCCAGTGTTCAGATTTTACGTAGCACATAAAATAAGTGTCCATCTTGTAACTCACCAGGATTGTGAAGTACCTAATTTTTGTTCATATTTATTTGCAACAATTTGACTCTCTTTTGTTAGTTGGTTATGTCCAATCCCGTTCACAACGAAAAAGGATATGTCTACAAAATGACACATAAGTGGTTAAAGTTCGGTCTTCTGACCAGTTTCGGAGAGAAGTGGCACATCAGAAGAAAAATTTTAACACCAGCGTTTCATTTCAACATTCTTCAGGGATTTGTCTCGGTTTTCAACGAACAAACGGAGCAACTTATAGATGCCTTGAAAGATGAATCCAAGAAATCTTACGTCGAGATAAATTCTCTGATAACACAGTTCACTTTAAAAACGATTATAGGTTGTATGTTCTTATTTTAAAACACTTTTTTTTAAGCAACTCCTTCCAGAGACGGCAATGGGTACTAAATTCAATTTCCAACGTAAAGACGAACGCAACTACGAGAAAGCGCTTCACGACATGGGTAAAATCTTTTACCACAAATTTACCCATCCGTGGTGCATCGAAGAAATCGGAAACTTCCTATTTTCTCCTTTCTTTTTCGAAGAAAGAAAAAATACAAAAACGATGCACCAGTTTACGAAAGAAGTGATTCAAGAGAAAGAAAAATCATTCAATGACGAAGAAGCGGCAGAAGAGCACAGTGTTTACAAAGGGAAAAAACGTAGAGCCATGTTAGATCTTCTGCTGTCTGCTAAAAAGAACGAAAGCATCATTGACGACAACGGTATCCAGGAAGAAGTTGACACTTTTATGTTTGAAGGACACGACACGACAGCTACGGCTCTAAGTTTTATGTTGATACTTCTAGCTAACAACGAAAATGTCCAAGTAAAAGGAAACTATAACGTTTAGAAAAAAATCTAATTCTGAATTTTAGCGTTGCGCGTACCAAGAAATCGTCGAAATTCTTGGAAACTCGAATAAGAAACCAACTTATGACAATCTACAAAATTTGAAATATATGGAACGCTGTATCAAGGAGAGTCTTCGATTGTATCCCAGCGTCTATTTTATCTCGAGAATTTTAGGTGAAGATCTAAGGCTCACGAATGGATATCTACTACCAAAAAGTACTGATGTTTTTATACACATTTACGATGTTCATCGCAATCCTGACGTTTATCCTGATCCTGAAAGATTTGACCCCGACAGATTCCTGCCCGAAAATTGCCAAAACAGACATCCTTACGCATATTTGCCTTTTAGTGCCGGACCGAGAAATTGCATAGGACAAAAGTTCGCCATCTTGGAACTGAAAGCTGCACTGTGTGCGATTTTAAGTAATTTTGTACTAGAGCCAATCGACACCCAAGAAAGTATCAAACTTGTGGCCGATATTGTACTCAGAACGAAAGAAGATATTAAAGTAAAATTCATGCCGCGCGTTTGAACAGGAAAATATCCCAAAATTACTGTACTCTTGGTATGGGAATAGAACTTTAGCAATAGTATTGGAGTTATCTTTACTACATATGGTATATTGATGTGGAACGCACTATAAAATAAAGCTTTTAATGTTCTCTTTCTCTTCTCTGTTTGTTTTACCTAAAGCAGTGATTTTCAATCTGTGGGTCGCGACCCCCAGGGGGGTCGCGAAGCTTTACTTGGGGGGTCGCGGACCGAAAGGGAGATAAAGGTACAGAACAACGTTTGTAGGTTTTCCACTCACCACTGCGATAAAATGACAATCAAAATCAGTGAGAAGGCTGTCCCTGTTTATTTTTCAATATTTTTTTTGATTTTCTTATTTTTAATGTTTACCATTGTAATGAATGTTAGCTACGATGTGGCAAATGATACTAACAATTTCAACGCTTCATTTTGTAGCTCTGTATATTCCTCTTTCTCTTAATCCAGAAGACGTCAATTGTTTCTAAATGGAATTCCGTTTGCAGCATTTCGTTAGCAGCCAGGTGAATAAGATTTGCTTTTATATTTGTTGTCAGATCAGCCAATTTCACTAACATATCCAAAAAAGAATTTATTATTAATCTTTGCCCATTCAGAGGCCTCTTCTGGAGAGTAACTTAATAGTTTCTCTTCCACATTATGCAATAATAATGATAATAAAAGATATGGGGGGGGGGTCGCCACAATTGTTTTTAATCGTTAGGGGGTCGCGTGTTCAAAAAGTTTGAAAAACACTGACCTAAAGGAACCTCCAACGTTTACAATCTATATGTTTTGCACATTTTGTTTGTGGCATGTGTCATCAAATATTTGCTATATGATGATGAATGCTGGCTTAAAATAAACTATCGATTACTTATGGAAATCCACGAACCGAAAAGATAAATATTATTATTGAATCTATGCAAGTATTATCTATTTCTCATTTAATTAACTCGAATTAAATCGAAAACGATTTCATCAAACGACATGCTGCTGATAACTGATTCACTTTTATTTTGTTTTAAAATTACCCTAACTGGGGAAGCATATCTAACTACGTAAAAAAAAATTGATCCAAGGTTACTTAGGAGAACTTCCCTCGCTTCTTAAGTACACTCGAACAAATACAGCTTCTTCGAAACATTATAAAATTTTATTTTGCTAATTTAATTTCTTATTGTAACCTCTACAACTTAAAATAAATATATATCTGGACCTTTTAAGCACAGGTAAAGAAACATGTTAGGCAGTACCCTAAATAATAACCCCGCGAGTTTTTTCATGGGAAAATGTTCCGGGCCACATGTCAGCAGGAACACGTATGTCAATTCAGTACTGTGTACTCACAATATCGAGAAGTGAGTGTACTGTTCTTGATTTGATATATATGTATAATTTATGTTTCTCTGCGAATATCATTAAATCTTGACGTGATCAAAAAATCTGGAAACAAATTTAGAATCAGCACTACGTAAATACATTAAAATGTTTTCGCCAAACTGCTCAAACTTGTTATCATGTCAGCATATCACACACAAAGTGCACGTGCATGTTTTTTTTCAACGAAGTAGCAGCAAGGCAATCATCAATACTCGTAATAAAATTATCAGCGCATATGTGTCTATTAAAGAAAACAATACTCTATTTTCACAAACTTTATTACTCATTCTAACATGAATATTTCATTCCAGGTAATTTTTATTACTGTGGTTGTTGTACGAGGTGTTGTATGTTTTAAGAAGTTTACAAATACATATTTTGTAAAAAGTTACACGATCCTGCAAAAAATGCCAGGACCTTCCAAATATGGAATAATAAATGGAAACGTGCCATACCGACATGGGAGACTCTCCCTCCAGGTAAGTCATTTCAGTGTTAATGACATGAATGATATGATTTTTGTTAGTTCGTTGTCTCTAATACCGTCCACAACGAAAAAGGATAAAAAGTGGTTAAAGTTCGAACTTTTAACCAGCTTTGGAACGAAATGGCAATTCACTTTAAAACGTGACAACGAGACGGAAATTTATGACATGAGTAAAGTCTTTTTCCACAAATTTTTCCATCTTAGTGCATCCAAAAAATCGTTTATTTCGACCGAACTTCCCTCGCGCCTGAAATACATGGCCAACAACTTCCGCTCCTTTGAAAAATTATAGAAATAGATTTTGCGATGTTCGCTTTATGATAACCTCTATAAACTAAAAACCGGCGGCATAAATAACATCCCAGAGCACGGTACACAAGCACGAACAAATTAAAATACATATATTTAAAGCAGATAACCAATGGGGAAAAATCGAAAAATCGTCTCTCAACAACAATAACTTCAAGTGTTTATGGTTATACGTCGGCAGAATGCCACGTTGCATTTATACGTTCTTAATGCGATCAATAAAAAATTAGAGAGTGATTAATTGTAATGAAAAAAATCGGCCGCCTGCGAGCTTCAATCAGTCGACTATGCCAAATGTAACATATATCCGTACTATGTGCATAAAGAAAAAGGTGGATGAAACAAGAAACAAATATAATAATAACAAACACAAGGGCCCGAGGGGTCATGACTTGATTACTATTAATATTTATTTAAATAATTAACTTAAACTCAAGAGATAAAAACGCAGAACTATGTTATATCCTTCACTATTTGCCAAACAGAAGAAATTAACAGTGAAAATATCCAGAAACGCTTGTAGCTAACCACGAGAGTGCACAAATAAATATATGTATTATTTACTATACGGTATTTACTTTTTAACAAAAAATTTTGCGCTTCAAGAAACTTATTAAAAAAACATATCATAAAGCCCTTGCTGAAAATCGTTCCACGTCCTGCTGGCTTTTTAAAACGTTGTATTTACATATGCCAAAAGTTATGGCACACTGCATATATTATCAAATTCTCTCAGAATTGGAAAAATAATGAGCGATTCCCGACAAAACAGTGCAGGTGAATTTGAACACATTTGTTCAAAGTTTACTTGTCGTTTCCAATAAGCATATTGTTGTAGAAGTGAAGATGTTCATGGTTTAAGCTAAGTGAACAGATCTTTAACATTGTTTACAAATTATTCGTGCTATACTTAAACGAAACAGGAGCGAAAAATTTCAGTATGTAATTTTTTTTGATAATTATTTGTACACATAGAGCTCCGATCCAGACATTTGATTATTAAAAAATCTTAGACTTAAATGTTTTCCTCTTCGTTCTTTCAACCTTTAAAAAATTTAGAAAAATCCTTCTTTGTACACTGCAATTTAATTATTTCAATTTAAGATGATATGATTTACCATAGATGTAACATAGGTATCATTACATGTCTATGCACTTATCACAATTGGTTATAATTATCATGCATAAACTGCATATGCACGTTATTTTCACAGAAGTATTTAATAACAAACCAGTCAATACTAATACGCATGATAAATTTATTTGAGCAGATCAGTCGATTGCAGAAAACCTTGTGATCCACACTGTCATGTTCTTTGCAACATGAATACTTTAATAGAACTAATTCTTATTACTGTGCTTCTCCTATTAGTGTTATATCTTTTAACAGGTTTACAAACTTTCTATATTTTTATTAAAAATTATATGATCCTGCAAAAAATACCAGGACCTTCCAGGTATGGAATAATAAAGGGAAATATACCATATATGGGAAACTCTCCAGGTAAATCATTTTAGTATTAATTAAAAGCTCGAACCACTGTTTCAGATGTCGTGTTTAAGCAATGTAGACAAGCCGTAAAAGATTTTTATCCAATTTACAAAATATACGTGGCGCATAAAATAAGCATCCACATTGTTACCCACGAAGACAGCGAAGTAATTTTTTGTTCGAATATTTTTGCAATAAGCTGACTGGTTTTTGTTAGTTAGTTATGTCTAATCCCATCCACAACAAAAAAGGATACATCTATAAAACGGTACACAAGTGGTTAAAATTCGGACTTTTGACCAGTTCCGGAGAGAAATGGCAAACCAGAAGAAAAATTCTGACACCAGCGTTCCACTTCAACATTCTCCAAGAATTTGTTTCAGTTTTCAACGAACAAACGGAACAGCTGATAGAAGCGTTGAAAGAAGAATGTAAGAAACCTTACGTGGAATTGAATTCTTTGGTAACACAGTTCACTTTAAAAACGATATCTGGTAGTACTCATGTTCCCAAAAACAATTTTTTGAAGTAACTCCTTCCAGAGACGGCAATGGGTACTAAAGTCAATTTCCAAAGTAAAAATGACCGCAACTACGAGAAAGCACTTCATGACATGGGCAAAATATTTTTCCATAAATTTTTCCATCCGTGGTGCATCGATGAAATCGGGAACTTTCTATTTTCTCCGTTCTTTTTTGAAGAAAGAAAACTTACAAAAACGTTGCACCAGTTTACGAAAGAAGTGATTCAAGAGAAAGAAAAAACATTCACTGACGAAGAGGCGGAAGAAGAGCACAGTGTTTACAAAGGGAAAAAACGTAGAGCCATGTTAGATCTTCTGCTGTCTGCCAAAAAGAACGAAAGCATCATTGACGACGACGGTATCCACGAAGAAGTTGACACTTTTATGTTCGAAGGTCACGATACGACAGCTACGGCTCTAAGTTTCATGTTGATGCTCCTAGCTAACAACGACAACGTGCAAGTAAGACACAATTAACACTTTTAGAAAATATATACTTAGTTTGAAATTTTAGAAATGTGCGTATCAAGAAATGGTTGAAGTTCTTGAAAACCCGAATAAGCAACCAACTTACAACGAACTACAAAACTTGAGATATATGGAACGCTGTATCAAAGAGAGTCTTCGACTGTATCCCAGTGTCTATTTTATCTCGAGAACATTAGGCGAAGATCTGAGGCTCACGAGCGGATATCTACTACCTAAAGATACTGACGTTTTCATACACATTTACGACGTCCATCACAATCCTGACGTTTATCCTGATCCTGAAAGATTCGACCCCGACAGATTCCTGCCCGAAAATGCTCAAAACAGACATCCTTATGCATATTTGCCTTTTAGTGCAGGACCAAGAAATTGTATCGGACAAAAGTTCGCCATCTTGGAAATGAAAGCAACACTATGCGCCATTTTAAGCAATTTTGTACTTGAGCCAGTAGATACCCCGGAAACTATCAAGCCTATGGCAGATATTGTGCTCAGAACAAAAGAAGACATAAAAGTGAAATTCATTCCGCGTTTTTGATTAAAGAAAATATTCAAAAACTTCTTTATTCACTAGGGAGGGTCATTTTTCTGGGGTGTCAGAGTCCTTAAGTTAGTGAGATCTGTGTATTTCTACAAAATTTTTACATTCAGATTGAACCTTAGTAGGAAAATAGTCAAAAATTAATAAAAAACAAAAAATACTGCGTCACAGTCTCCCTCTCTCCTGTAAGAGATGGTATCGCCGATCTACTATTACTATTATACACAGACCTTACTAACTTACGTACTTTGCTGGGGTATTATAGTCGTGTTTATTACAAACTAGCATATTTTCAATAAAATTTTTCTCAGCTTCCTTTGCCTGGAATTGTGGCATGAAATCGCCGAACCAGCCTTGGAATTTGAACGAGTAAAATTAGAATTGCAATATTTCATTGTTTATGTTTTGTACATTGCAACAAAACTTGATTATATGAAATTAAATATTCGCCTAAAATAAACTATCGATTACTTAAGGAAATCTGTCCGACAAAGAGATAAATAACGTTCATCCTGACTTGACACAACATTTATCAATTTCTCATGCAATTAGCTCAAGTTCAGAAAACGATTATTTGTTTACACGACCTAACGACTTCTTGTTGATATGCTTTTATTACATCTCATAATTACGTCACTTATTACTTTTAATACGGAATCACAACATTACAAATCTTATTGAAAAACAGATGCGTGATAATCAGTTAAATAAGCAAAAAGCTGTAGGTGATATTCAGACTTCGGCCGTCCGATCGCCAGCGCTATTGCAGTCGTGGCCTACAACTTCGGGAATTCTTAATAACAATGACTATTTTTTTAGGTTTTCCTCAGTTATACGAGTTCTCCTAGATGTTAAAATACTTCAAAAACTAAAAATGGCTGTTCAACATCACAATTTTTATGATGTTCTTCTTCAGATAAACGCTATCCTTTTTAATATTTGTCTGATTGATTCCCCATCACTTCAGCTGTGCCTAACTCTGGTGATATTGAGAGACTATTGTTTTTTGTAGTTTCCCCGATCTTCTCTTTTTTTAAAAAACATCAATATCAAAGAAAGGAACGAACAAATTATGAGTACTTATAAGTTATAATTAGCGATGTCTGATTTTCCCCTATCTGCTACAAAAATCGAAGGCATTATTGACAGCGAAGAAGATGTAAAAGTCAAATATATTGTTTATTAATAATCTACCAGTTGTGTGATTTTGACCTTCAATCAAAATGCGTGTATAAATAATTCATTATGTAAATCGATCTTTGATTAAATATTCCGACACTTTGATCCTCTATAAGCTAGAATAAATCCCTGAAGTTTTAATTAGAAATACTATTTAAATGCACTTGTTTCCAGTTCAAGTTTTGAACTGATAAGGCACGTACTTGTTGCAATTTCATCAAGAATTTTTAAATAAATATTGTAATAGAAAAAAGGTAAAAGGCAGCTTCAAAGTGATATTTTTAAGTTAATACGCCTTTTGGATATATTAAAATATTTGATACGATACTGATAGAAGATTTTTAAAAGTGATTCCAGGGATACAATAGAACATTAACTGCTTTTTCGGTAATTTTTTATTCAATATAAAGAAAAGAAAATAAAAATCATGTCAATGTCCATATAGATTACAGGTCTACTTAATTATTCACACAGACGCACTTAAATTCTATACTCAACTCTATTTCAGAGCGGAAAATTCCACACCAATACAATACACAGCGACACAAAATACATAAAAACCGAAGAAAAAAACAATGAATAAACAATAGAACACTGAATAGTAACAGCCCGAAATTAGCACGCCATCAGGCCTCCGCCCATCGATCCAGAGATCTGAAACGTCACAAACAGAACCTTCCCGATTTACCATCGACCTTTCCCATTTGGGGCGTTCGAAAATTTCGACAAATAAATATTTAACTCCAAGTGGTGACGCCAACAAAAAGATGACGCATTCGCTACGGAATTAACCATTCCGGCACCTAATCGCATGTCGTTTGTCACGTTTCCAAAGCAATTGTGCCTAAAAATATTCCAAGTGCGATCAATGTCATGATCATCCTTGAAGTGCCAGTTACCACCCTCGATGGGCTTTTTCTGGACGGCAGATTTCGTAGTGTTTAATGCACGCTTTCCCTTTCCTACAATAAAATAATTACGTCTTTATGAATTGCTGATGCCGCCCCTGGAGACGGCAGCTGCTGAAAATCCTGCACGGGAAGGATAACAGGGAACAAACTGAATGTAAATAACGTTGTTTACCGGGAGCGCTGCTGCCTATTATCTTAGTTTTATTTACTTTCCTATAGGACTGCACGGGTTGGAGCCGTTGCTCCAATCCCTCCGTTGGGAGGGATTGCATTAAAAATAATAAGGACTTTTGTGCCCACGGATTGAGGGCTTTGAAGTTTGAGTTATTTCAGGTTCTGATGAAGTGATATTTAATTTCTATATATAGGGGTTGGTGCTAAAGATAGAGGGGTTCCAGATGTTTGGATGAAAATTCCAGAAAGGTTATTTTTGAGGTGAGGTCGTCGAAATAAAAGTGTTTGTGTAGGGACATTTGTTTGCTGCAAAAGGCGGTGTGAATATTTGTTATTCTGGAAAAAACAGGTGGTAAACTTCATAGTTTAAAAGAGTGTGGTGCGAAAATGTTTCAGATTCTTTCTGCTACTGTTGTTTACATGTACTTAAACTATAGGCAAATCTTTGTAGTTGTCCAAATTGTATAACGTCCTGATTATCGGTAATGAATTGGTTGTTAATCGACCGACTCTACTTTTACATTTTCTCGACTTTTCATGACCCTTACAGTACGAAGAAATAGGTCTCCCGTTTCCGTCTGTCTGTCTGTCTGTACGTCTGTCCGTCTTGGATTTTTTTACTTTTATAGGTCAATGACTACGTTTGTAAAGCATGTTAGATAAGAAAACGATCATAAAATATCCCAGAACCAAAGTATCCAAAGAATTGGCCCCGAAATGATAACAATAAATAATCAAAATAAAAGAGAAACGTAGAGTGAGAATACACCTTCAAATTACAATTTTGTCTTTATCGTTGTGGTGACCAGATTTCAATTAAAATTTCGCGCTGAAGAAAATAACGGCGCGACATCGCATTTGATTAATTTGAATTTGAAAAAAAAATCAATCAAGAAAATCATTAAACAAAGGCAACCATGTGAACATTTAGTTCTTTTCTGGTAGTTGGTAGCTTTCCTAGGGATTTTCTTGGTAGTTAGAAAAATGAAGGAAGCCTTTGTTTAACGACAATTAATCGAATCGATTGCGATGCCACAGTTTCCCCAACACGGGTAGCTAATTTTTCCATGCGGAAATAGCCGAATTTTCGACCGACGCCAACACGTGGTGTAAATTTGTTTTATTGTTTGTAAATTCACAGTTCATGTTAGGATTTCAATCGTTACTGGTTTTAATGCAACTTAACAGTCATTAGATTTGTTCAGATAAAGAACTTGCTATAACTCACGTAATTTTTACTTCCCGAGCGTAAGCAAAGGAAGTATTGTAATCGAGTCCGTCGGCCGACTCTCTACTTTTACATTTTCTCGATCTTTCATGACCCCTAGAAGATGAAGAAATAGGTCTCCCGTTTCCGTCTGTCTGTCCATCTGTCTGCCGTCCCGGATTTTTATTAGACAGATAATCTCCGAAAGTACTGGACCGAATGTTGCGAATTTTTGTATTTATATTAGGAATATCATGTAGTAAAACGCTAACCAAAATTTGCCTAGTCATCCCCATCAATAATGTGATGACGTCACACAAATAACATAGTCATGCACATGTAGTTTATGATTCCGAATTGAGTTTTTAGCCGAAACTTCCAAATTTTTTGAAAAAAAATTAAAATTATGAAACAACATTTTGCAATTTAATTTGGAATCTGCAAAATCGAATGCTTTGAAATCTTGCAGATGATTTATAGCTACGATAAGCATGATAAATTTTTATTCAAAATATATTTACTTGTACCCTCCAAAAAATTGATAACGTCATCTCATCTCAAAAGTTTGCCGAATAAATCCTACCTAAAATGGATAAAATATTATGAGGCTGTACTTGTGATTTATCATTCCATTCATATTTTTTTATTTGCATATACAGGGTGACTCAAAAAAATTAATGAACGCTTGAATTTAATTTATTTATTTAATTAGAAACTACTAAACTGAAAGCTTTGAAATCTTGGAGATGTTTTACAGTTATCATAGGCATGGTAAATTTGTGATCAAAATGTATTTGCTCATCCACCCTGAAAATTTGATAACGCCATCCCAACATTTTGCTGAAAAAATTATCTTACATGTACAAAGTATGATGAGTGTATACTTGTGATCTAACACAGCATTAATATTTTTTAGATTTGCTTATACGGGGTGTCTGAAAAAAATTAATGACTGAGTCAATTTATTTTATTGATTAAATCAAGAATTCCAAAACTGAATATGTACTTTGAAATCTTGATGTTGTGAAGTCATTGTAAGCATGTTAAATTTGATTACGTCATCTCAATGTTGCTGAATAAATCCTATCTAAAATGTACAAAATCTGATGACTCTGTACTTGTGATTCATCATTGCATTCATATTTTTTAGATTTGCTTATACAGGCTGACCAAAAAAAATTAATGAATCTGTCAATTTATTAAAGAAAGTGAAACCAGAAGCGAGGGAAGTTCTGTCGAAATAACTTTCGACAAATTTTTTTGTCTGCACAAGTTTTACTTCACACCAGATCTTTTTTTTGTTTTATAAATCTTTGCTAGTTTTTGTGACCACGAAAATATTTTGTTGAATAATGGCTTCCATCATATAAATTGTCTGATGTCCAGTCTTAATCTCAGATAAGAATTCTTTGCTGTTTAAAAATTTCACGAGAGTGTATGGCGAATTTAAATGTTGTTATTGCTGTTTTTGAAACTTTGACACTTGTTCAGTTGTAGTTGAATATCAGAGTTATTGATAGTGAACATTTAAAGTGGAACTGATGTAAATAACACAGAAACACGTGGCAGAAGCTGAGTGCGCGGTTCCTTGTCGAGCTGGCGGTCGCGCCATCTGCACAAAAGACGCAGGTCTAGAATAGAAGTCAGGGGCGGGCGGGATGATGTGACGCTGTCGGCTTGTCCCAATATCCGAAACCCAACCACGAGTTTGCGACCGTAACAGCCCGCTCATACAGCATGATGGAGGGGTGCTGTGTGGTAATGCTTGCTAGAATCACCGTCGTGGTGGAAGAACAGCCACAACCAGGAGCCCCAAACTCCGCTCATGCTCCAACGCCCCCTAAAATTTTACCGCGAGTGATGGCTGATTTCAACGATTTAAGACTCGCTCTGGAATTCGTTTGCTGAAAATGTCCGGAGAAAAACTGTCCAGTCAACCAGAATTAGTGGATCCTTTTAAAGAAAATTTCCTTAGAATTGTCGAAGAATTTAACTTAAGCAAACACCAGATTTACAATGCAGATGACACTGGACTTTTTTGGAAACTTCTACCAGATAAAACATATGTTACTGTTAATGGGAAGACAGCTAAAGGCCTGGAAGTTACAAAACAAAGATTGTCACTGTTGGGTTGTATAAATGCTACAGGATTGCATAAACTAATGCCGCGCGTTATTGGTAAATCGAAGAATCCACAATCGTTGAAAAACTTTAGAAATCCCATCACATACAAAAATTCTAAAAACGCATGGATGACATGTGCTATTTTCAAATCCTAGTTTTTCGAAAATTTTCTGCATGAGGTAAAAAAAAATCTGGGACAACAAAAACTACCCTTGAAAGCTGTGCTCGTGTTGGATAACTTGTACATCTCATCCTCTCGCAGAAAAATCAAAAACACATGATGGAATGATTTTCCTAATTTATCTACCTCCAAATGTAACACCATTAATCCAACCAATCTTGGCAATAAAGGATGGCATCCTACATTTAACAGCTGCTTGGGAAAAATTGAGCTCCACAGTCATCGCTCAAGAAGAATTCAGTGACGAAGACGATGTTCCTTTGAGTGTTTTTAGAGATAATCTAAGAGATGTTGAATTCCAAATTCTAGTAATTATAGTAGTAGTACCTTATTACATGAAGTAGTACCGGGGCGATTTTACTTAAAGCATGGATATAGATGACCTTTTTATTTTTATAGTGTGAATACACTGCTGCCGACATAGACAACTGGAACACTGACCATATTTTGCAGAAAAATGAGCAGGATCAAGATGAAAAAAGCCACAATGAAGTAGATGGGGTAGAAAATAGTAGTAAAGAAGAAGAATCCGAAGAAGAAGCTGAAGAAGAAGAAGAAGAAGAAGAAGGAGAAGAAAAAGAAGAAGGAGAAGAAGAAGAAGAAATAGTACCACATTCGGAAGCCATAAAAAAAAGCTTTCGATAAAGTGCGCTCAACAAAATAAAATAGAGATCAACCATATGTTAAGTCTGCAATCCATCCACGTAAAGACTGTTTCAGCTATTTTAAATAGCGGTACTTTTCCAATCTTGGGGTCCACCAATTGCATCTGAACGCATTCCGCCACAAAAAAAAAAACTAACACAATGCAGGGTTCCATTTTGTCAGACTATCACAGCCAATGCCAAATTTTTGAATTTTTGAATTTTTCGCGGGCTTTAATTTTTTTTCACAGCATGTCAATTTAAGGCGGGATGATTGGGTTATCACATCGTCCCTCAACTCTAGCAACCTGGGCAATAGTAAACTCCCCGAACGTTTGCCGAATCGATGGCAGAAACACCAACCTAATTGAAAAGAGGGTTTCGACGTTTCCGTCACTTTCGTAGGATCTTCACAAAATGAAAGACAAGAAGAACGAGAAGTTCAGAAGAAGGTAAATTTCTTTGGTTCTGAGTTTCTCATTTATTTTGTTCTTCGTTTTCTGAAGATGTCCGACGACAGCGGACGAAACGTGGAAACTTTTTTCAAATTTAACACGGTCTAAACGCAGAAAAGGTATTCTTGTTATTTACTCTGGCCGTGGAAATCTTCGACTCCACTAAAGGTTCAAAAGATGTACACAAATGCATGTAGTACTTCTTTCAGAGAGAACCAATACACCATTAATATCGGCCCTAGATAAAATATTCGGCAAAATTGCCTGGCAAAAGTATCAGTTAAGAATTAAGATAAATAAATGAAACGAAAATAAGGAAATGGCAAACAGATAAACATCAACATACACCTCGAAGGACAATTAGAACTAGTGGAAAGCTATATTCAGGACAGAAAAATGACAACAAGAAAAGGTGACATGAGGGATGAAGAAGAATCAGTCTTTTCTGGGCAGCTTTTTGGAAGTGGAACCACATGTTTAGTTCTGAAATACCAAATACTACGAAGAAGAATATGGTCAGTGTTCACATGTGGAATTGAAATGCGAAATAAACAAACACAAAAATTATGCAAGGCACAAAGAACTCACGAAAGTGTAATGCTGGGAATCAAATTAACTTAAGTGGAAACAGGTTGGCCACGTCGCTCCATAACAATGACGGACAATGAATACAGCTACTACACGTCGCAGGTTTAATTATTAATTAGATGTATTAATATTTCTACAAAGACAAATTAATAACATTTAAGTTATATTATTATAAGTAGCACGACAGTAACGTTTTAAGCATCTTGTTTTCTTATTGTTGCAAAGTTTCCATCTTAGAAATCAAAAATCCACAGAATCTTTGAAAATTCGCTTTCTTATTAAAAATTTGAAATCCGTTACAAAAATATATAAAAAGAAAAAAACATCAAGATGACCTTCTGATTGCTGCATCAACTCACAATCAAAAAAATGTGCATAAATACGGAAATGGATGGCTATCACATGCTATTAATATCGCGATAGCGCAATGCGCTCCTGTCACATATACAGTAAACATTAATAAATCCGCTACTTAAAATCATAATTAGCTCACTCATGCTACAATATTGACAATTTAATTGAGTTCCCAAAATAAACTTAATAAAACACAACTTATTATCGCCAAATTATCATCGTTTATGAAGAAAAAAAAAAAAACAAATTGTCACAATGAAACAAACCCGACTAGAAAACAATAGCTTCCATTCTTTACACAAGCTTCAACATCAACAATAAATAATGAATAAATAAATTCCAGCTGCATTATTAATGAATTCGCTGCAACAAAGCCCGAGCGACACAAACGTATCACCCCGAACGAGGTCAAATTCCCGTCTTAACGCATTCAACAAAATTCGCCAAATCTAGGTCACCAGAAAGGATACAAAATACGCACACTTGAAAAATCAATTGTTGTCCCTTTAAACCCTCCTCCCCTGCGTCCTTAAATATTATGACACCGAAAAAACAAATTACCCACTTTGGTAAACTAAGTGGATAACTAAACTCCCAACGTAAATAATGAAGCAGACAAAAAGCCTCTTTATCGCACACTAATAAGTAAATATCTCCGGTAAAAAACCGCTAAAAACCTCCCCGCGAAGGCAATTGTTGTAATTATTAATTACTCACCACTTAAGTAGCTATGTTCTGATATTACCAGCATTCTGCCCGCTTAGAGGGAACTTTTTAGCCGCATTTTCCTCTTTTTGGGGCGGAAACGCACGTTTGTGACCACTCAAGAACAACACTTTGTCACCAGAAACTCCAGCAGGACCATAACGGTCACAGTCTAGTGTTTACTAGCAGGATGAGTCCTTGGTGTCTCGCACTTGGGAAATTTCGGAATGCACTGAAACAACGTTCTGAAATCCTGCTGGCGCATGGTCGGTGGCTGCCCCGGCAGGATAACGCACGCAGGGGTGGATTGGGGAGGAAATAGCCCGGGTGGGAAAGAAAGCGTCTAGTGTGGAGTCGTTACATTGTGAACGGGGATTGCGATGAGTGGAGTGCATTTGATGCACGCTTGTTTTGGTTTCGCTGAGTTTTTGTGAACTCTAAATTGATGTACGTTTTCACTTTTAGATTTAGAATATGTGGGGTGACTATAAAATAAAGCACCAAGCACGATTAAATTTTTACGAGCAAAGGCAACGACGTAGTTCAGTATATGGTTTTTAAAGTTTCATTTTCCACCAATTAAACAACATGGTCAGTGGCTATGAAAACGACGTAACTTTTTGATTTTTTTTCAACAATATTATTTTCTTATTATTCATAATTTTAGAGCTTATGAATACAAAAGAAAGTTTAACCCAAAAAAAAAAATCCATTTTACATTTTGGCTGCACGGGCCACCCACCTTTTGTGTGTGTAGTATTTTTTGCTAAATATTAGCGATCATATCAATCAGGTGGTCATATCAGGTCACGTCAGGTCAGGTCAGGTCAGGTCAGGTCAGGTCAGATTAAGTTAGGCTAGGTCAGTTCATTTCAGCTTAAGTCATACTAAGTCCAATCAATGTATTATGATGAGTAGAAGAAGCATTGTGCTTTAAAATAGTCTTAAAATTGATAATATTGTCTGTCAATTGTCAAAACGGAAAAGAAGGAAAACTTCCGTTTATAGAAAATTATATAAAACTCTGGAAGAAGGAAATAGTACAAACAATGTACTCAAATTGTCTATTGATATTTCTATCTATTATTATAAATAAAAATTTAATGATTTTGTTGAAAATGGTTGCGTATTCTAAGAAACATCCGTGCATGCATTTGTGATTCCAATAAATATTACTTACTGGTTTATTTTAGTTTGTCACTTTTTTTTAAAATACCTTATTTTGATTTTTTTTGTACCAGTAAATCATCATCATTATTATTATCGATTTTACTATTAAATTACGAATTTCTTTAACTTCTCAGTTCTTTAGTAAATATTTATCAATTTACCAAAAAAAAATAAAAAATAAATAACCGTTATAATTATAATATTAAGAAAACATAAAATGAAAGAAAGGAAAATATTAATGACAAAAGCTATTACTACCATATGATATGATCCACAACATTTTTATTTAGGGTAGTGTTCCGGCTCGAAGACCAATGTTCCGGCTCGATGACCAATGTTTCGTACAATCCGAATCGTAGTACCAACGTTTTTTGTAATCCGGTTGATACGACCATGTATGGTCTTCCGAATTGTACCTTGATATTGCTCGAAGGACCTTTGTTTGTTATAATTGAAATAATGGACAGCGTTCGGTTTTGATGTTTAATGTAGGACGGTTACAGAAGTACTAAAATTACAGTGCTATTTACAAAAACAGGTAAAGATACCCAAAGGGTCAGTGGCCGCTTCCGGAAATGCAACATCCCGCCGGCCTTGAAGGGTTCTTCAATATTAATCTGTACAATTAAGAACAAACCATGACAAATGAAAAATAAAAAATGAAATATACAATAGAAGTGAACTTAATAAAATACATATGATATCCGCTATTCAATTGGTAGAACGCACACTTTGTTTATTGCACGCTTCACTATACCGCTAATTGTTTTCACGGAAACTACCCGCACATGCCCGTCACTGCCCGGATGGAGCTCTTGAATTCGGCCCATCTTCCACGCAAGCGGGGGCAGGTTGTCCTCCTTGAGCACAACGAGTGCTCCTGGTTGGAGTTCTTCCTTCGACGCCGCCTTCCACTTCGTGCGTTGTTGCAACTCGTTCAAATATTCTAAGGACCAGCGTCGCCAGAAATGCTGTTTAATTTGTTGAATGCGCTGCCAATGATTCAGTCGATTGGATGGAACATCGACCAAGTTTTCTTGAGGCAACGCAATTAGTGGACTCCCGATTAAGAAATGGCCAGGAGTTAGAGGTGATAGGTCGTTGGGGTCATTTGAAAGGGGTGTCAAAGGACGAGAATTCAAACATGCTTCGATTTCAACTAATAGGGTATAAAACTGATCGTAATTCAGCAATGCGTTTTTCGTCACTCGACTAATGTGGTATTTTGCTGACTTAATACCCGCTTCCCATAAACCGCCCATATGAGGGGATCTACTTGGTATAAAATGCCAGTGAAGATTTTGCATTTCTAATTTATTGGTTAGTTCACCGAAAGCTTGTGATTGAAATAATTTACTTAATTCGTTATTACTCCCTACAATATTAGTTGCATTGTCCGAATACATGTTAAGAACCTTGCCACGACGGGCTACCATGCGATTAAGTGCACTCAGAAATGTTTGACTTGAACAATCGCAAACTAATTCAATATGAATTGCCTTTGTGGCCAAACAGATAAAAAGAGCAATATATGATTTGATTGATTTTGAAGTTCGTAAAAAACCATTTTTGATAAAAATGGGACCAGCATAGTCGACTGCGCAATTGAAAAATGGTCTAATTGTTTGTTGTATTCGAGCTCTAGGCAAATTACCCATCAATTGTTTAAGGGATGTAGGTTTTGCCTTAAAACACGGGACACATTGCCTTAAAACACTCCTTACGGCGTTACGCCCGCTCAAAGGCCAAAATTGTTGTCGTACAGTGGCTAGTGTGCATTGACTTCCTGCATGTTTTAGTTGCCTATGTATGTCTGTTATTATTATTTTGGTAATATGATGGTTTTTTGGGATTACATAAGGATATTTTTGTGCTTCTTGTAAGTCAGAATTAACTAGTCTACCGCCTACTCGGATTAGGCCATGGTTATCCAAAAATGGGTTTAATGAAAGTAACTTACTTGGTTTATTAACCTGCCCGTTACTGGTTAATTGTGCAATTTCGCTAGAAAATACTTGTGTCTGAAGCAGTTTAAGTATACATCGCTTAGCATTTTCAATCTCCTCAAATGTAAGTGGTTTCGGTTTTTGCATAGGTAATCTTGCTTTGTGTTTAGGTTGATTAAGCTGGGTCTGTTTTCTCAGAGCATTGTGTTTGAACCTCAAAATCCATGCTACAATAGTTATTAATTTCTTAAATGAGGAAAACCTATATAAAATTGAATAATCAGTTACACTGTGCGTTTGTGCGGCAATCAGTGTAGTTTTCCTTTCTGGAACATCGGATAAATTATATTGAGGAGTTGTGGGCCAATATGAATTATGTAATTTTAAAAAATGTGGACCTTCCCACCAGAGTTGTGATTGGATTAACTGTTCAGGTAACATACCGCGTGAAACAATGTCTGCAGGGTTAAGTTCTCCAGGAACATGTGACCATTGTGCAAAATCCGTCAAATTTTGAATTTCCGACACCCTGTTAGCAATAAATGTTTTTAATTCCCTGGGTTCGTGCTTGAGCCACGCTAGTACAATAGTTGAATCAGTCCACAAGACTGTACGATTAATGGGGATATTGAAGATAGACTTAATTTTATGAATTAATTTTGACAAAATATGGGCGCCACATAGTTCCAGTCTAGGTACTGTTATTGTTCTTAAGGGTGCCACACGTGATTTGGCTGAAATAAGCCTTACTGTGACCTTATTATCGGTGTTAATTGTTCTCAGGTAAACACAACAACCATAGGCAAATTGAGATGCGTCGCAAAACCCGTGAATTTCTACCTGAATTGAGGGATTATCTGAAACTACCTTTCGGGGTACACTAAAGTGATTCAATTGCATTAACTGCTTGTATAATTCAAGCCACTTTGTTTGAATTTCGGATGGGATTGACTCATCCCAAGACAATGACAATGTCCATAAATGTTGTATAATTAGCTTTGCTATAACTAACGTGGGATTAATTAAACCTAACGGATCAAATATACCTGAAATTTGTGATAATAAATCCCGTTTGGTTAACGATTTGATATTAGATTTATGCGAATTAACTGTAAATTTGAAAAGATCTGCCTTACTATCCCATTTGAGACCTAAAGTTCTGGTCTCTTCTTCTCGATTTAAATTTAATAATGTATTATTGTTATGGCTATTGTCTTGTACTGGCAGAACTTCATTTTTATTGGAAGCCCACTTGTATAATTTGAATCCTCCTGATTGTAGGACAGATGTCAATTGCTCTCTCAAAGTGATGGCTGCTTCCACACTTGGCGCACCACTTACTAAGTCATCCATGTAAAAATCTTCCTTGATGCAAGATGATGCAATTGGAAATTTATCTGCATTCTCAATAGCTAGTTGATGCAAACATCTTACAGCAAGGAATGGTGCGCAAGCAGTACCATATGTGACCGTAGACAATTGATAGTGCTTTATCTCTAATTCAGGGTGTTCTCGCCATAAAATGGTTTGAAAACGGCGATCGGATGGTTCAATTAAAATTTGTCTGAACATTTTTTCAATGTCCGCAACCAAAGCCACTTGATGAGTTCTAAATCGGATCAATATGGAAAATAAATCTAATTGGATTGTTGGGCCAGTCATTAGTAATTGATTTAAATTAACCCCATTGGATGAACTTGCAGAACCGTTGAAAACCACTCGCACCTTGGTGCTAATACTTGTTTCCTTTATTACTGGATGGTGACTAAGATAAAAGCGATTTTCTTCCAGAGGGTCTGGGGTATTTACTACCTCCATGTGTCCCAGTTCAATGTATTCGGTCATAAATTTACTGTAATCATTATGAAGCTGAGGAGCTTTCACCAACCGCCTTTCTAATGAGTAAAATTTTGAAAGAGTTCCGTTGAAAGAATTACCTGGCTCCAGGTGGCAGTCTTTAAAGGGTAGTTTTACTATAAACCTACCGGAAACATCTCGTTTGAAGTTTGCCGAAAAATGATTTTCGCATAATTGTTCTTCCTTGGAGAGAGGCTTACTCATGGGTATTTCCTCAATTTGCCACAATTTAGCTACCTGAGTTTC